CAAGGTCGAGCTGATTCCTCCAACCCCTGCTGAGATCCCAACAGCTGTTCAGAGCTTGAAAAACACAGTGTCTAGTACTCAAAACTGGTAGCTGCAAACAGCTCAGTTGAGGAAGCTCCGCTGAATGGTGTGGTAGCCACTGAGCTGTGGATGTGGGTTTATGTTGCCAAGATTATAGGCAAGTGTGGGTTCATTGGCTGGGATGTTTGAAGACCAGTCTTTAACATTTGTTTCTTTTGGTTTAGTGTTTGAATGTTCTTGGACTATGAGTGATCAGAATCATATTTGAATTAAAAAAAAAAAGGAAAAGATTAAAAAAAAAAAAAAGTACAGGCCCTGACTGGTGTGGCTCAGTGGATTGAGCACCGGCCTGCCAACCAAAGGGTCACTGGATCACTGGTTCAATTCCTAGTCAGGGCAGGTACCTTGAGTTGCAGGCAAGGTCCAATTGGGGATGTGTGAGAGGCAACCAATTGATGTTTCTCTCCCTCTTCTTCCCTCCCTTCCCCTCTCTCTGAAAATAAAATCTTAAAAAAAAAATGTATGGGGCTATCATTAAACAACAATAACAATGAAAATACGTGAAATCCAGATCCCCTCAGAGGAATGATCTAAGTAGGAGATTATGAGACCAAGAATTTTCAGGTGACACCACTGGTTTTCCTAGCCCCCGACATAGGCTACTTCATTTCAGTTTTAATCCCGTAGACGTTTTACCAGGCAGGTTCTTGTTTGCAGACGTCCCAAACCAGACTGGGTGGTTTCAGAACAAAGGGACAACCGGTGCCAGACCCGCAGGCTGGCCCTGGAGTCAGAAGCTCGGATGCGCGGGCGTAATGGACTGAATCCAGATCATGTGCTCCTGTTCTTGTGCAGTGGCTGCTGGGAAAGCATGTGTCTGGCCTTGGGAATATCTGAAGTGGGAGGCAGCTGAGAGACCCCCGAATGCAGGAAAGGGATTCTCATGCTGACCAGAGAAAATGAAGTCTCCCCCATAGCTTGGGAAGGGGGAGACCAGTCTGCAGCAACCTGCTCTGTGACCTTGGACAGACCCCTGCCCTTCTCTTTGCCTCAGTTTCTCCATTTGTTAAAGGGAGGGATTGAATGCTTTTTCCCATATTCTCCTTAGGAAGACAGACATTTAATACTACAGACTCTTCTTATCGAAACCAGAGTTTATTCGGCGAAAACATGTTCAAGCACTGGGTGTTTTCCATGAGATGAGACACAACCAAATTCAGGCTGAATTAATGTACTGACCTCCACATCTTAGACGGATTTTTCTATAAGACAGAAGTAGTCAGCCTCTTATTCGAGAATCTGATAAAAACTCAGATCCCTCTCTCAAAAATGCACGTAAGACTTTATTTGGTTTCAAGAGATTTTAAATGAATAAGAATGCCAATTGTCATTCTTTAAGTAACTTTGAGGTGACTTTATGGAACCCCCTGCTGTCTACTAAGGTTTCTTAAGGAAGCGTTGCATTTATCATTCATTCATTCATTGTTTATTGATCTCCATTTGTGAGCTGGGAGTATTGCCATGAATGAAAATGAGGTCCCTGCCCTCAGGAAGGTCCTGGTCTAGTGGTCGTATTGATACGTGGGTGTGGGGGCGACCTTTCCCAGAGCCCCCCCCCCCCCGTGCCACGGACATGCGTGAATGAATAAGATATATGGCCAAGACATGATGAGATCTGTTTGGGGAGGAGGAGTGGGCTGTGGCCAGTTTCTCAGGGGAGACAAAGGCCAGGAGCAGCCAGTTCCTCTGAGGAGAAAAAGGCCCCCAGCGCCCTCTTCCATAGCCTTTTACTGGGTTGTAATACACAGGAATACAGGGCGGCAAGGATCGAACAGTAGATAACATTACAAAGAGATCTGAGTCAGGGTCTGTCAGGAACAGAGTTGCAGAAACTTTGGGAGACATACTCATTTCCTCTCGGACCCTTAACATATGAATGAAAGCACTCTTAGCAGAGCAGATTTCACAGGTTTATCAGCAAGTCTTTGTGATGCCAGATTTCCTCCCAGGACATGCTCTAGCAAGGCAAGGAGCTGCACCTCTTCCCAACAGGTATTCAGGCTTAAGGGGATTAGAGTCAGGAAGCACTTCTCCCAGAGAACATGGAGACTCGGGCTTTGTAAAAGGGGGGGGGGAGCAGGAGTCCATTGCTCTTTGCTGCAGCCCCCCCCCCCCAGTCCTTCCATGAAGGCCTCCCAAGTGGTCGAGTCTGGCTTAGGTTGCCCCCCGGCTGTGAGGGGTCTTACCCGTCATTGACTTCCGACCAAGCTCTGAGGGCAGGGAGAGGAACTGAGGCAGCATTTGCTACCAGAGACAGGCTTTGTCTCCTGTGGCTGGCATTCCAAAGGTCGTCTCTCACCCTTAGCCACAAGGGGTAGAGATACAATTCCTAAAACTAGGCAGAGCGGTTTACTACACGTGGGTAATCATAGCAGACCACAAGAGGAACAACCACCAGTGAAGGAGCAGAGGCTGGTGAGGTCTTTGGGAGGAGGTGACACTTGAGCTGAGCCTCAGAGGATAAGAGTTTGTCATATCTGGCAGGAGCTTCAGTTGAGTGTGGCAGAAATTCAACCCAAAATGGCTTATGCAAAAAGGGGAATATACTGGCGTATGTAACGGAAACATCCAAGGGGTGCTTTCAGGCATCCGGGTGCTCAGTTGTAGCCGTAAGGCCAGGACTCCATGCCCTGGTTCTCTCTGTGCCTCTCTGGAGGCTTTTCTCCTGGCAGGCCCTCCCCTAGTGGTGAATGAGAGGATATCCCCATTGCCCCAGCATCTGGGGATGATGCATCATCTGAGGATGAATCTGTACATTGAGATGAATAGATTGCTTTGGGTAGTGTGAACATTTATATGATGGTAATTCTTCTTATTCACGAACACAGTGTATACCTCCACTTATTTGTGTCTTCTTCAATTTCTTCGGTGTCTTACAATTTCCTGAGTATAGGTCTTCTACATCCTTGGTTGAATTTGTTTCTAGGTATTTTTTTATGCAGTTATAAATGAGTTTGTTTTCTTAGTTTCCCTTTCTGATAGTTTATTATTGGTGTGTAAAAGCACAACTAATTTCTGGATATTTATTTTGTATCCTGCTACTTTACTGAGTTCGTTTATCGGTTCTAGTAGAATTATGGTAGAATCTTTAAGGTTCTCTGTATACAGTATCGTGTCATCTGCTGGGAAAGTATTTTTAACTGGGCACATGATAGCCTGAAACAGGATTGGAATTCTATAAATAAAAAAGAAAAGGGCTCTTTTCCATGGCGCCTCAGAGGCGGTCGGCTGTTTCAGGATGAAGCCGAACATCTCTTTCCCAGCCACTGGCTGTCAGAAACTCGTTGAAGTGGATGATGAATGCAAACTTCATATTTTTTATGAAAAACGTATGGCCACAGAAGTTGCTGCTGATGCTCTGGGTGAAGAGTGGAAGGGTTATGTGGTCCGAATCAGTGGTGGGGATGACAAGGTTTCCCCATGAAGCAGGGGGTCTCGACCCATGGCCATGTCCGCCTGCTGCAGACCAAGGAGGACTGGAGAGCGAAAGCCCAATCCGCTTTCTTCCGGAGGCTGGTCACTCCTTCCAGGCCTGTTGAGAAGAAAGGGCCTCCTACCATCAGATGGTTAAGAGAAAGCTGGGCTTACAACAGTCGTGAGGCTGAGACTGGGATTCCAGTGCTTTCCCAGAAGAAACAGGCCTTGAGATTTTTCTGTAGGGAAATCAAACCTATAGCCCTAAAATAAGAAAAAGTAACATATGGTACAAGGAATGGAATTTAGTGGTGGCACATTCCTAACTGTTGCAACAACTCCCAGAACTTGCCCATCCTTGTGAATTTGCCCAGGTGAAAGTTACCTCATTTGACCATGACGCTGAACCTGCCAAGTAAGGGAAGAGGGCATTATTTTCTCCCCTTTGCAGGTTGCACAAGCTAATTTACTCCCCCAAGGTCTGTCTGAGTTGGGGCTCTTAAATGCCACTCTCCTTATACACCTCTTCCTCTGTATTAATCACTGGTTTTTCTGTTTTCCCCTTTCGGCCTCTTTCTGCCTTCTCTCATGGGTTTCCCATTGGCATGCTGAGAGCTTAGCATGCCCTGCCAAGCTCAGTTTGTAAACCCCAGAGAACTCCACTTCTCCTTGGGGGCGCCCTCCAAGACTGCCAGACGCTAGCGTGAGCCTTTTTGGCAAGGGGCCACTGCAACCGCACAAACCCAAAAGCTGCTGTCCATCAGCCCCTGTGGGTCCGGCAGTCAGGTTCAGCTCTGGCAGCCTCGCTTTGCTGTGATCTTTCTTTGGGGAGAGGAAGCAGCCCGTTCGTTCATCTCCTCCTAAAAGGATAAATCATATTTATGTCCAGACTCCAGGCTTTGGGTCAGTTGATTTATGAGATGTTTTTGCTCATAATTCATCCAAGTGATGGATCCCACAAGACGAAATCAGTTTTTGGTTGTACTTCTGTAAGGGTGTTATTTAAACGCTTCACTGACCAACATTTATACTGTGATTTGGAAGAATCATCTAAAAAACTATATAGGACTCAACTCAGTTAAACTCTATATACAATTCCTGGAAAGGAAAAGGCAAATACAGAAAGGAAGAGGAAATTTTTCCAACATCTAATTTTCCCTTTTGAGGCAGAGGGGAGATTGCTGTTAGAGGTTTTGGAAGAACAGTTAATATCTGGACACAAAAGAGAAAAGTTGCAATGAGAAGTTGAGGAGAATTTAAAGGACATCTTTCAGGAAACGCACTTCCAGTTTGGGAAGGCTCAGCTCTTCATGGGCGACCTAAATTCTACAAAGCAAGTAGCGGACCCTGGCGCGGCATTGGAAAGCCCTGGAATCCCAGTCAGGTTTTCACGGGTTAAGGGGCCCATGTCACATCAGCCGTTCCAAACTCCTCCTCTCGCCTGGAGGTGAAGATATTTGAAAATCACCCCACTGCAAACTCCTCCCCCTATGAGAAACCTCACATTGAAATGCTGCAAATGACCGGGGCCCGCGTGCAGTCGCCGCCCGGCTGCGCAAAGCCCAGCTTTCCAGCGGGGACACTGCAAACAGGGGACAGCAGCCTGAGCCAGGCCGTTGCTGAGAGCATGAGGCTGTGCTGGTTGTTCGCCCTGCTCCTTGCCGTGGTGGGGGCTGCAGGTAAGGCTGGCTCCAGGCCCCCCGCGCGCGGTGGGTGAGCCCCCCGAATTCCAGAAGCCCCTTGGTAGTTTTCTGAAGGGGGCAGGGAAAAACCACGCCATTCTTCGGAGACGTGGGACAATGGCACAAAGTCCTCCAGAACGGCTGGGGAGAACACTAAGGGGCGCGACGGTTTGGGGAGACAGAAGAAACGGGATGTGGTTTTCCCCACAAGTCCCGTCGAATGGGCATTCTCCTTGTTTCCCTCAGACCCAGGCACTGGAGAATCTCCAGCACTGGGGAAGCTGGACCCTATCGCCTGCTCAGCCTACAGGTCCATGCGAGTGTTTCCCCTAGCCTGGCCGCAGGCAGGAGTCACCGAGGCGGCCAAGTCGACTTTGTGCTGCCCGAGGGAGGCGCTGGCTCTCGGAGCGCAGCGGAAGGCATCCCACCGGTTCACTTCCAGCAAGCTTCATCCCAAGGCCAATGCCCCCAACCCCGCCCTCAGTTCCGCCCCTGAGCTCCCATTGGGCGCGATTCAAACAGGCGAGCCGTGATCTTCTCCTCTTGACCAATGGGAGGCGGTAACTGTGGAGCAGCGCGCCGTGTGGGGCGGGGCTTGCGCAGGATTCGCGCCAAACCTAGTTCTGAATGAGGCGGTCGGAGGCCATCGGATCTCGCACTCCAGTCCTGGGTTCCTATCACAAAGGAAGCGACACTTCCCAGACCCCTGCAGGCGCCTCCTGGAGCATGGACAGGGGGCCCGCCAAGCGCCTAGTTCCCCTCGGCGAAGGCCGCGGTTTCCTCCGCGATTTGCGCCCAGGGCTTCACCTCCACTTTGTCTTCGAGGCCGCCCTCGCTTCGCCCGCTTGGGACGTGACACAGACGGGTCCCCGGACCACCTTCAGGGCCTCGGTTCATTCCGAGACTGAAACATTTCCTGGAGGGAAACACCCTCCCCTCCTCTGTCGGACTGGAAAGGAAATTGGGGCGGGGCAGGGACTGGGAGGCAGCGACACCAGACGGCCCCTCAGAGTTGCGATGTTTGTTCAGAGGCGCTAAGTGGGTTCAGCTGAACTGCCTTTGTGACGATTTTTCACTTTGGCTAGATTTGGGCAAGAAGCTAGTTGGTGCACGATCCTGAGTGGCTTTAAATGAGCTAGCAGAGGCATTTGACCTTGCTGAATAATAGATAAATATTGTTCTTTTACTATGTATAACCAGCTCAACCCATTAAAGGATTGGGATTACTTGATTAACAGGGTATCAAAAACCATCCATCTGTCGGAATCCCTACCTGTGACACAGAGGTTTCTGCTGGGAGGGGTGAAAGGGAGGCAGCAGTAGGTTGCAGACACAGCAGAGGACTAGCATAATAATCCAGCCGCCAGTTGTGAAGTAGAGGGAACATGGCTTGGTCAAGAGACACTTGACTAACCTGAATTTCTCATGCTGATGGACCTGTTCCCCATGAGGAAATAACGGCAGTAAGTCTTGAGCAAGATGCATTGCTTTTTAGTTTTCTCTCCCACTGTGTGGCTGGGGATCTGATGTATCTATCTCCTGTTCTCAAGGCCTTCATCCCCACTTCGTCTTCAATATCGACCTTGCTTGGCCAGCCTAGGGCATGTCACAAATGTGTGCCCCCTGACCATCTGAGTCCTGATTTCCCCCAGACTCTTGGGAACTGGCAGCTACTTCTCTCTTCTGTTGCAAACAGGAGGCGGCGCCCTGGTTGCTCCAGCTTGCTCCTGGGCTGTCTTTGAGGCATTTCAGGTGGGGTGGGGGCTAGATTTTCTTGTCCATTTCCTTTGGAAATGAAAGTGGTCAGAATCGGACCTTCACTTAACCAGATCAGAATCTCTTTAACAGCTGTCTGACAATGGAGCAAAGGTAAAAGGGCCACTGTAAGGAGAAGGTATATTAAGATCAACCAAAAAAGCAGGCAATTCCATAGAATATCACAGATTCTATTTACTTGTGGGAAGATTGGGTCAGAGTGGAAGAGAACCCAGTAGTTCTGTGCAAAGTATTCTCTACTAAAGACTCCTGTTATTATGCCTTTTTAACATTATAACTCAGGTATTGGCTATCGACAAGACCAAGTGACAAAGAATGCAGCAGTTGCAGGGACCGTACATCCCGGGGGTCCTCCACACTATCATTATTCATTTAATGGTCATCATTTGATGACCATTTGATGGTCATCCTGGTTATTACTAACAAAAGTGTTTATGGCTAGATTTTAAGGATCACAGATACTCATTAACTAGAAGGATTTGATATGCTGACTCAGGGCACTGAGTTTGGTCAAAGGTCACAGCATGAAAGGACACAGGGAGATGGTTTTTTGTTCACATCTACACCTATGTAACGGTTGTGTGTGAAGTATCAAATATGTCAGGGGCACACCCAAACCTGACAACAGAGTATCCTCTTAAGAGTTGTATCTTTAGCAACTTCTTCCAGAGCAACAATGGAAAAAGTTAGGGGGTGCTTTCTTGAGACTGAAAACCTTTAGGGGAATGATGTACCTTTTTCTTTCTTTCCAGGCTGGTCCTGCTCTACCTGTAGGTTTCCTCCCCTGATAAGATTAAATTCTAGATCCCTTTGTTATTGGATGCTTTGATGGTCCCTTCATATTCCATGTTAAGTACATTAATAACATCCACACTTTGCCCAGTTGTCAAGCAAGTGACCATTTGTCGCTAAGACTGTAGAAGTAACCAGTAGTGAGCACTCCCTGCTCCCCAATGTGGCTGACAACAAAATCTGTCTTTGCGATCACTTCTGGGGAAGACACCTTGGCACCTGTGTTTGGAAAAGGCCGCTGGTAAATTGATTTCTCATTCATTTTTAGCTGAGTCTGTTATAGCTCCAGCCATTTTGTTTTTTCCAGGAAATGATTCTATCTACCGTTTTGATTTCCCTTACCACATCTATCTTCAGTATGTTGATGTAAGAAATGTCCAGATCTGCAGAAATTTTCATGAGTTTGAGCCAAACTGACAACAACTGCCAGGAAGCAAAATCTCTATGGACTGAGAAAATGTTCTAGAAAATTGCAGTTTTGCAGCTTATTTAATACATTAGAATCAAAGTAGGAAGCATAAGGAGGGTTATATAAAATCCACTGTTAGTAGATTTAAGGGAGCAGGAGAAAGCAAATCGGGGAAATCTCTGAGTTTGGATAAAGAGTAAAGCGGAGAGACACGTACTTCTTTTACATTGGTGGGTACAGGATAGTTAACAACTAACATTAATGAAACATAGAGATGGTATTCGGGGAGCGAGATAACAATGAGGGCTTCTGTGGTCTCATGCTGTGGTGCAGAAGTGGTGCCCCAGCAGGTCTGGAAAAGATAACTCTGACTTGTCGTAGCTGTGTTATCTTAGATGCAAAAGGGCAATAGACAGGCTTCCTTAAGGTAAAGATTAATCGTTGTCAAAGAAGCTACAGACCTAGGACATGACTACCCACCATGATTGTCTTTTAGTTTGGAATTTTTATGTTCCGACTATCCTATGTGGTTAATTTCAGTCTCTTGAGTCTGTAAGGCTGCTGGCCTCCCCTGAGCATGTCAGGCTTAGTAAGTGGCCCCTTTTTTGTACACAAGTACCATGGGACATTGAACATCAAAGGCATTTATTTAATACCTCATTTTTGTGCTGGAGAAAAAGTAGGAATGTGTATTCTTTTTTTTCTATTTTGATAACTGTATTCTTTTTTATTTTATTTTATTTTTTAATTGTTTATTTTTTATTTTTATTTAGTTATTTTTCAAGTACATTTTTTTGTCTATTTCTCCCATCCCAGCCCCTCCCCCATAACTGTGTTCTTGATTTGTCACTCATAACAGGAGAGATTTAAGGTCTAGAATTTAGAGATATTTGCAGGGGGAGGGGTCAATGTTTATGTAATTTTAGGCATTCCCAGCAGGAAGAGATATGGAAGTGAGTGCTCCCTTTTGTTTCTCCTGAAATGTAAATGAAACTGACTTGGGAAAACCAAACCTCGCTTCTGCAACAGGGAGGAAACAAGACAGATGTGCCTTTCCTTTGGGCTGTGGTGTTTAGAACAGAACTAGTTCCGTCCCCTTGCTCTGGACGGTCCTGTCTGCTGTGGGGACTCCCAGCTGGTGTGTTGTTACTTAGAGTTCCCTGTTTCTGATAGCTGTCCCCAGCAGCAAGACCCTGGGACTTTCTTCTCAGCTAACCGCTCTCTGTCTGTACCTATAACAATACAATCCATCCACTAGTCAAACATTGTCTGGAACTGAGCCAGCTGTTGAATGACCTGGTCTGAGAGAAATAGGTAATAGTGGAGTTTTCCTGTCACTGAGGTCTTCAGCCATCTGCAACTAGCAAATATTTGGAGACCTGTTACCAGGTGAAGGTTTGATGTCCAGGAAAGGGGGTTACTGTTTTTTATCTTTATACCTCTTTAAAGGGCCTTAGAATGTTATTATTACTTCCAGTGGCACCTTTTGTGTGTAAGATGGGTCCTTATGCAAAGGTTGGGCAGCAGGAGCATTAGTGGTGTGGATGAAAAAGTGGTTCCACAGAAAGTAACCTTGCAGGACGTTCTGATCATAAATTCCTAACTGAGCGAGTCATAGCAGGCAGTCACACCTCAGACGGGAGACTTCTTCAGTAAAAAGCCTGTCTCTGCCTTCAGCAAGCCCTGCCCGTTATTTCTGTGCATCTAGGCTGGCACACCTTTGAAATAAGTGTGAGCACCCTCAAGACAGCACATAATATTGTCAGCTGTCCTGAAACCAATCCCCACCTTGCTTTCTCCCACCTTCATGTAATTTTCCTTCCGTTCCCTCCTTAACCTCAGATGCATTAAAGAAACTGCCAAACTGTCAGTTCTGTAGAGCGTTTAAGATCTTGCTTCCTGGCACCTGTTGTCAGTTTGGCTCAAAAAAACTCTTACATAAATTCTCCACAGATTTGGACAGTCTTCTGTTGACAGTGATACCCAAAGCTTTGAGCACAAGAGGAGAAGGGGGATGAGGACAGAAGCTCCTTCTCTGAGACCTTCATTACCAGGGCCCCTTACCTTAATTTCTTTTTTAGTTTTTTTTTTCCCCTAGGATTCCTCCTATTCCAATTGCTTTGTGTCCACCCTGTGTCATTTCCTCCTCTCAGCATGACTTCAATTGTGACTCACTTGGGAGTCACCAGGGTGTGTTGCAGAGGCTTCTCTGAAAGAGACGTCCTGTTATGACCCGAGGTGGGGCAATATAGTTTACCAGTACGTGGTGCCTGATTCCAGAGCTCAGCTCACTCCCTCCCCTCTTCACTCCTACCCGCTTCTACCCCTGTCTCTGTGGCCTGGGCCTTGTAAGTCACACTTAGCAAGCTCTGTTGATTCTTCACATCACTGCTATTTATCTCTTTATTACCTCTATCTTCCTTTGGGGCCCCCCATATCTCTCCTAATCTCAACTGAGTGGCTTCCTAATCTCTGTCAGAAACCTTGAAATTGAGCTTTGAAGACCCAGAGTTTGTATTTATTTTTAAAATTGTGGTATAATTAACATACAATAAGATGGACAGATACTAAGCAAACAACAGTCCGGTGAGTTTTTATACACATCTGTTTCCATGTAAGCACCTCCTGTTTGGATACAGGCTATTTCTAGCTTCCCAGAGAGCTTTCTTGTGCCCCTTTCTCTAATTACTCACCACCCCCTGCCCCGACACCAGAGGCAACCGCTACTCTGAGTCCTGTGATAGATTAGTTTTGCCTGAACTAGAACTTCACATAAATGCAGAGTACATGCCCTTGAACAAAATATTCAGCAGGTCATCTGTGTGGACATGTTTATTAGCTATTTGTTTCTTTTTATTGCAAAGTCGGGTCCCATTGGATGAACACATCACCCCCCTGATTTTAAGCTGAGTTTATGATGTCAGCATCTGCGCAGGGCTCTGTTTTTATTTATTTATTTATTTTTGCATGCCGCGCCTCCTCCTCCTGGTTTTGGGTGCTCTACATGTTCAGAGAAATGTCTCTAGTAGTAAAGTGTAGAAATGATCCCTGAAAGTATAGTCTTTGGGTAGGGCTCTTTTTTTGTTCCAATCTTTAATCCTCACAACATTCCCTTAAAAATAGGGACAGGTCTTCTCCCTCACTTTACAGACAAGGAAATGGAGAGCTAGGAGGATTAAGTCAGCTGCCCAAATCGGTCCAGTTAAATGGCACGGGAAGCCGCTCACACCCAGGTGTGTCTACCCAACCCCTTACCCTGCCTCTCAAAACCAGCACGAAAGTGCAGGGACACTATCAGCGTAGAAGTGAGAAAAGGCCTCCCTTCCGTGGATCCGTTTGCCAGCAACAGCAAATCAGATTTCTCCTCCTTTCCACATAGTTGTGAACTCAAATACATACATGCATACGTACATAATGTAAGTAAATAAGTAAGTAAAATAAGTTATTTTTTAAAAAGTAATTTTTATGCCCTGGCTGAGTGGCTCAGTAGGTTAGAACAATGTCCTGTGCACCAAAAAGGTTGCAGGTTCAGTCCCTGGTCAGAGCATGCGCAGAAGGCTACTGACCAGTGTTTCTCTCTCTCTCAAATCCATAAAAACAGCTCTGGCCCATCTGGCTCCATTGGTTGGGCACCATCCGGCAAAGCAAAAGGCTGCTGTTTTGACTCCTGGTCCGAGCAGGTGCCTGGGTTGCAGCCAATCAATTGGTGTTTCTCTCACATTGAGGTTTCCCTCCCTCCCTTCCCCTCTCTCTAAAAATAAGTAAATAAAATATTAAAATAAGTAAATGAAATCAATAAAAACATATCCTTGGGTGAGAATTGAAAAAAATAAAATAAAATAACTTTTACAAGAAAAAAACAACCCAAATGTTTCACGGTGCTCCACAGACTCCAAGACAGTAAAAGATGGTTGTTTTGCAAGGTCTTCCAAAAATCCTAAAGAGACACAACATTCCTTGACAGTTGCAGTCAGGTCATAGGAAATTATAACCCATCTTACCTTTTCTTGGCATCTTATGGCTGTAATAAAAGCCTGTCTGCCTAGTGCATAAAGGTAATACACTCTGGGTAGTGGAACAGTTTCCCGAAGTAAGCCAGAGGAGAGTAATCAATTATAGCAAACAGTGTCCCATTCTCCAGGCAGGTGATTTTTAAACTGGTGGCATTTAAAGACAATATCCAGTTGGTGTGAGTGTTGTCCTGATACACCAAGATTGGGGGTTTGATCCCCAGCCAGGTCACAGACAAGAATCAACCAATGGATGCATAAATAAGTGGAACAACAAATAAATGTTTCTCTCTCTCTCTCTCTAAAAATCAAGAAATAATTTTAAAAAATTTAAAATCAATGGATAAAAGGAAAAGCCTTCTTAATCTTCTTACAAGGATGATAAAACATATAAGTGATATGTCCATAAATAAAAACTTATACTTTATATACTATTTGCCTACAGAACATCTGGTTCATGAGGAAAATTCTGTTAGCTGCTTTTATTAGTTTTATCTTATTTCCTTATTTATTAAATATAAAGCATGCTGAGATAAGCCAGATCAGAATATTTATTAGCCTCATTGTTCTAGTTTATATAGGAAATCAAAGTTTATATGTTGAGCTTCAAAAGTTATTATTATCAGAGTCGCCAAATAAGAAAGTTGGCTTTCACTCCAGGTTACACCTATCAATGTATTTTTATTTATTTTTCTTTAAGATTTTATTTATTTATTTTTAGAGAGAGGGGAAGGGAGGGAGAAAGAGTGGGTGAGAAGCATCAGTGAGAGAAACATCTATGGATTGCCTCTTGTATGTGCCCCATGGGGTACTGAACCCGAAACTCAGGCACGTGCCCTGACCAGAACTGAACAGGAGTACCTTTGCTTGTCAGGATGACACCCAGCCAAATGAACCCCACAGCGTCAGGGCTCAATATATATATATTTTTTTAAAGATTTTATTTATTTATTTATTTTAGAGAGATGGGGAAGGGAGGGAGAAAGAGGGAGTGAAACATCAGTGAATGGTTGCCTCCAGCACACCCCATACTGGGGACCTGGCCTGCAACCCAGGCATGTGCCCTGACTGGCAATCAAACCAGCAATGCTTTGGTTCCCAGGCCTGCGCTCGATCCACTGAGCTATACCAGCCAGGGCCTTCGGCATACTATCCAAAATGAAATTCCATCAATATAATTTTGATCTCTTTTCCAATGTGCAAAAATCATGTATTCAGCCCTGGCCACTGTGGCTCAGTTGGTTAGTCACCATCCTGTAACCAAAGGGTTTCAGGTCCGATCCTCAGTCCGGGCACCAACGAAGGGCAAACAGTGTTTTTCCCACACTGATGTTTCTCTCTCCCCTTTCCTCTCTCTCTAAAAGCAAGAAAAATAATGTCCTCGGGTGAAGATTTTTTTAAAAATCAATAAAATCATGTATTTAAGGATATTTCCCCAAAACTCCAGACATTGACTTTGTCATTGCGGTCTCCTTCTTTTTAAATTTTGAGAATATGTTTATTAAAAGCTGGGGACACTGACACAAGGAAAGGCTTTAGCATATAAGAAGCAACAGGAAGAAGCCTCGGCTGGGCTGCTTTAGCTCCCTGGGAAGTCAGAGGAAAGGGGGCCTTGGGGACAGGTTCACGGGGTCAGCCCGGGGCGAGCTGCCGCTGCCCACTGCTCCTCTGTTTGCAAGTCTCACGAGGTCTCTCAGAGTTTAGGAGATGCGCGCCTGCGGGGGAAGAAATGGAGGAAGGGAAAGGCACAGGATGCTCCTGGGGGTGAGAACATGCCACCTTGTCTTCATTTTTATGTGAAAATCTGAGTCTTTTTTTTTTTTCTGGGGAAACTTTTCTCTTATTACATTTAAGCCTACTGTTTCCGTTCCATTTCTTTTGACTTGACATCAGGTGTCTGATTATCTTTGCTGCTGGAGTCCTGCTCTCTGACCTCCACATTAACAATTTGTCATAATTTTTCTATTTCCATTCTACCTACTGGAGAAAGCTCCTCTAGTTCTAATGGTCGCACAGTGTCGGATATCCTCAGTACTGTTTCCAACTGCAGGTTTATAACATGCTCAATAATTTCCTTTGTTGATGTGCATGAAACTTCTAATATTTTGTTTCCAGATCCTAATGGATTCATACTTTGGACTCAACAACCATTATGTCAAAGTCTTACACATTGTTGACAAGTCTTACTTTTGGATGTGTTTCAGTACTCTCCGCTATACTTTTGGTTCATGAGATGTATGTTGTTATGCATGTTTCATTTCCTTGGGAACCTCAGTGTTACAATAGGGCTATAGGTTGTGTGGTCAGTTTCTGAACCTGGTATTGAAACTTTCTTCCTCTTTCCTTCTCTCTCATTGAAAGACAAATGTGAGAGAAATGAGTTCCTATGCCACGACGGGAAATGCATCTCCTACAAGTGGGTTTGCGACGGGAGTCCTGAGTGCCCCGATGGCTCTGACGAGTCCCTGGACACGTGCAGTGAGTGCCCTTTGGGTGTGATATGCATCCAACCCTTTTCGATGATAGCAAGTGACAAATGAGATGGAGTTTGGCTATCAGACTGATATGTTTAACAATGAGTTGGGAGATGGGGAGCAAAGGTATTACTAAAACTTCCCTTGAACAGCTTTCTTTTTTTTTTTTTAGAAAAACAGGGCAAGGGAGGGGGAAAGAGAGGGAGAGACACATCAGTCTGAGAGAGAACCATCAATCAGTTGCCTCTTGTGTGGCCCCAACCACGGATGTAGCCCACAACCCAGGCGTGTGCCCTGACCAACAGTGACCTTTTGGTTTTCAGGATGAGGCCCAACCAACTGAGCCACACCGGTCAGGGCAACAGCTCATTTTTTTTGTTTGGTTGTTTTTTTTTTAAGATTTTATTTATTTATTTTCAGAAAGAGGGGAAGGAAGGGAGAGAAACATCGATGCAAGAGAGAAACATCAGTTGGCTTTCCCTCTCAGGCCTTCAACCAGGGACCTGGTCTGCAACCCAGGCATGTGCCCTGACTGGGAATCGACCTAGCAACATTTCAGTTCACAGGCCAGTGCTCATTCTACTGAGCCACACCAGCCAGAGCTGGTTTTTGTTTTTTAAATTGAGGTGAAATTCACAGAACACAAAACTAACCATTTTAAAGAGACCAGTTCAGCCCTGGTTCATGTGGCCCAGTGGACTGAATGCGGGCCTGAAAACTGAAAGGTTGCTGGTTCGATTCTGGGAGGCTGGGAGCCCTGGAGGGGTATTCCCTCTGGAGCTGGGTGTCTTGGCTCTTCGATTTTATGTATTATTATTATTGGTTTTCTTTCCAATGGTGTAGTTTTTAATTTTTAAATGGAGTTACAGGCCAGGTCTCCAGCTGTGGGCATATGAAAGGCAACTGATAGGTGTGTCTCTCTCACATCAATGTTCCTCTCCCTCTCTTTCTCCCTTCCTTTCTCTCTAAAAATAAACAAGTACAATCTTTAAAAAAAAAAAAGCTCCATCCCTGGCTGGTGTAGCTCAGTGGATTGAGCACAGGCTGGGAACAAAAGGGTCACCAGTTCGATGCCCAGTCAGGACACATGCCTGGGTTGCGGGCCAGGCCCCCACTGTGGGGTGTGCGAGAGGCAACTGCACATTGATGTTTCTCTCCCTCTCTTTCTCCCCCTTTCCCAAATCTCTAAAAGTAAATCAATAAAATCTTTTTAAAAAAAGCTTCAGAGGCTAAAAAATACTATTTAAAAAAAGTGACCAGATGCATAGCGTTAATATTCACAATGTTGAGTAACCACCACCTCTAGCTCATTCCAAAACATAGCATCTAATTTTAATAAGTTCTATTCAATTTTGACCCAGAAAGGTGGGCTTTCTGAATACTTCAGATTCTTCCTTGCACAGCTAGGACTGATCAGGCAGGGTGGCCTTCCCTTTGAGTTAAAACTTAGTCCTGTCTCTCCCACAGTGTCCGCCACCTGCAGGTCAGAGGACTTCAGCTGTGGGGCTCTTGTCAACCGCTGCATTCCTCAGTTCTGGAGATGTGACGGCCAGATGGACTGCGAGAATGGCTCTGATGAGAAAGACTGCCGTGAGTGGGGCCCACGCGCCAGGGTGGCCATGCACGCGGCCCACCTGGGTTCCGGGCTGCTTGCAGATTTGCTCTCCAGCAGGCCTGCCCCAAGTATGGATCCATTGTTCCATCTCCTGGGGGTTTGTACCCAGCCCCCTGCCACCCACTGAAACCCACCTTGACTAGTTGCAGCAGGTAGTAATGTGCCCCTCTCAGGGCTACCAGCACACTCAGTGAAGTTTTTCTTCCTGAGTGTCCGCCACACGGCGCACCCTCCTGTCAGTGAGCCCTGTGACTACGGCCAGCCACCCCGGGAGGCTAAGTACACAGTAGGGACTCACCCACCGAGACTTGCTCATCTGACTAAGTGCTAAGGGGAGGAAAGCTTCAGCAAGCTGAGGCTTCTACAAAGGAACGAGGCTGGGAGCCTCCCCTGGAGGGGAGTTTCCTCTGGAGCTGGGTGTCTTGGTTCTTTGATTTTATGTATTGTTATTACTGGCTTTCTTTCCACTGGTATAGTTTTTTATTTTTAAATGGAGTAAGGCTATCAAAAACAAAATAACAGAAAAAAATTAATTAAGATGACTTTAAATCTTCAAGGTCGCAAAATATAAAAACCCTTAAGAGATTTTTAAAAAGTAATAATGAGCCCTGGCTGGTGTAGCTCAGTGGATTGAGCGCGGGCCTGCGAGCCAAACAACTATGGTTCGATTCCCAGTCAGGGCACGTGCCTGGGTTTCAGGCCAGTTCCCAGCAGGGGATGCACGAGAGGCAACCATATATTGATATTCTCTCCCTCTCTCCTTCCCTTCCCCTCTAAAGATAAATAAATAAAATCCTTTTATTCTTTTTTAATATATTTTATTGATTATGCCATTACAGTTCTATTTCCCCTTCATTCCCCTCCACCCTTCTTTCCCCCCTTTAGTTTATGACCACGTGTCTCAAGTTCTTTAGATTCTATATTTCCCATGCTATTCTTGCCCTCCCATCTATTTTCTATCTACTGTCTATGCTACTTATTTTCTGTACCTTCTCCCCCCTTTTCCTCCTCCCACTCCCCTGTTGCTAACCCTCCATGTGATCTTCATTTCTATGTTTCCGCTCCTGATCTAGCTGTCCTCTCAATTTGCTTTTGTTTTAGTTGTGTTTCTTAATAACTGTGAGTTTGCTGTCCTTTCACTGTTCATCTTTTTTATCTTCTTTTTCTTAGGTAAGTCCTTTTAACATTTCATATAATAAGGGCTTGGTGATGATGAACTCCTTGAACTTATCTGAGAAGCACTTTATCTGTCCTTCCATTCTAAATGAAAGCTTTGCTGGATAGAGCAATCTTGGATGTAGGTCTTTGGATTTCATGACTTAGAATACTTCTTTCCAGCCCCTTCTTGCCTGTAAGGTCTCTTTTGAGAAATCCGCTGACAGTCTGATGGGAACTCCTTTGTAGGTGAGTGTCCCCTTAGCTCTTGCTGCTTCTAGGATTCTCTCCTTCATTTTCATCTTGGCTAATGTAATGATGATGTGCCTTGGCGTGTTCCTTCTTGGGTCTAATTTCTTTGGGACTCTCAGAGCTTCCTGGATTTCCTGGAAGTCTATTTCCTTTGCCAAATTGGGGAAGTTCTCCTTTATTATTTGTTCAAATAAGTTTTCCACTTGTGGCTGTCCTTTCATTTCAATTCATTTCAATTAGTTTAGCCTTCATATGTTCCTCTAATTTGTGACTATAATCAACCAGTTCTGTGAGCATCCTGATCACCAGTGTTTTGAACTGTGCATCTGAAAGTTTGGCTATTTCTTCATCACTTAGATTTATTGGCTCTGGGGCTCTGAGTTGTTCTTGAGCCATGTTTTGATCTGTTCCTGCCTGTTACGTACGAGGAGGTGTTCACCAGGCGGGGCCACCCAGGTCACTGGTTTGTGACGCTATATGTGGGGGCGGGGTCAGAGAGAGACAATGGCGGTCCCCTCTGCCGCTTCCTGCCACTGGGGCCTGCACGGTCTGTCTCACCACTCGCTCCTTCACTGGTTTATCTGCGCTCGAATGTGTGACCGTGGTCAGCCCTCAGTGGGTCCGCCCACTATTCCACACCTGGGATCCGCCCCCGGCTGCCCGAGCGCCTGGGTCACCCTCCCCGGTTGGTCCGGTGGATCTTTCCTGCCTGACCCCCGCTCTGCTGCTGGCTCTGCCCCTCTTACCGGTTTGGCTGAAGGGTTTGTTGTTGTCAGACTTCCGTTTAGTTCAGTTTTCTGTGGTTTGGCTGCGTTTTTGTTGCTAAAACTTTGTTGTTTTTAAACTTGGTTGTGTGAGAAGATGCAGTGCTTCCACCTACGCCTCCATCATGGCGGAAGTCTCAAGTAAATAAAATCTTTAAAAAAATAACAAAATGTGTTTACTTACACTTACCTTAGAAATACACATCTAACCATCATCCGTGGTCATCTGATGAAACAGCCCCTGGAGAACATTTTAAAACAACATGGATAGGTGTTCCTTTCCAGATGTTCTTTTTTTCCTTCCAGTCTCACTGAGATATAATTGACATGCAACACTGTGTAAGTGGAGGGTTTGGAGGTGGCTGTGGCACTAGGATGATGAACGCCCCTCCCACCTTCAAGTCATTCTCGCTGTTTCAGAGCGAGAAGATCACTGTTAACAAGACTCGAAGGTACCCAATGCCTATTTGTTCACTGTCAGCAAAGATGATCATGCACTAGGAAATATTAATAAATCACAGCTGTTGAAGGACCCACAGGTGCTGTTTGCTGGCCACGAAGTCCCCTAACATCTTGGAGCACAAAATCATCTGTTTGCAGACCACACCAGACTACACCCCCGAGGCCTGCACCGGGGCCATCACAGACTCCATCCTCCAGCTCTTCCTGCTGGAAGAGCGATTCCAAGTGGCCATCAAAGACAAGCAAGAAGGAAACAAATAGTAGTCTGAGATAGTCCTCTTGCTTGGCTAGTTCCTACGTTGCACTGGCCCTCCTTCGGGCATGGAGTGAAGGAGAGCAGCGTCTCCCAGACACGGGCCTCGCTGGAGAGCCCCTCATCCCCGACACCAGTGTGACTTGTATATAGATTCTATTTCATCTTCCTAATAAAGTATGGCAGGAAGAGACCCAGATGTGAGCTGAAGCAGAGGTCACACCTTATAGCAAGTGGGTTGTAGGACTTAGCGGTGGTGGATGACCTGTCCCAAGGCCACAGTGGGGCCACATTTCAGAGCGATTGGCCCAGACACCGCGATGTCTATCTGAGAGGGTGGCGGGGACGCACCTGTTCTGGACCAACAACTGGGAACCTGAGGGGCTTCCCGGGAGGCAGACATGAGCAGAAGGGAACCAAACACCTGAGCACCTCCATGCGCTTCTGCTGTAGAAGCTTCTGTGGTGGGCAGCCTGTCTCACTCAACGAAACCCCGGATGGGCCCTCAAACACCTTCCCCGGCTTCTCTGCAGTGGAGGGTTCAGTAAAAATACTCACCGATTAAAACAACAACAACAGAACATTGTGAAAGCTTAGAGTACATAATGAGCTGATACATGTTCGGCCCTCTGAAACGGCAACTTTCACCTCCGTGGATTCAACCAACTGCAGATGGAAAATATTGGGGGAAGAAAATTCCAGAATGTTCCAAAAAGGAAAACTTGAATTTGCTGCGTGCGGAGAACTAGCCTGAATTTACCCAAGTGAAGTGATATGTAGGCATAACCTGCTATGGCCTATATACAAACACAGGTTGTATGCAAATGTAGGTTTCACACAAATACAGACAAAAGAGGGACTCGATTAAGCTTTCTTGGATTTGGGGATCTTGAACCAACCCCCACCCCAGGATACTGAGAGATGATTATATCTTGAAAGGATCACCAGTAGGTTACTTAACACCTCTATCAACTCACATAATTATCACTTTTTTTTGGAGGGGAGGGGGTTCTTTTAATAATAACAACAACAAACCCTTAATTAGTGCTTCCTTAGTGCCGGCCCAACCTGAGCGATTACTCAGCATGCTCATAATACGGCCCTGAGGCGCTGAGGGGTCCGAGGTTCCCAGACGCTCCCCGACCTCTCCAGGGCCCACCTAACCGGTTCCAGCCTCTCTCTTCACAGTGCCCCGCATCTGCGGAATGGGCTGGTGTTGGGGGACTGGGGCTCCCGGTGACCCAGTTTTCCCATCTGTCCCCGCAGCCACCAAGACCTGTTCCCCGCAGGAGTTCCCCTGCGATGACGGGAAGTGCATCGCCCTGGAGTTCATCTGCGACTCAGACCGAGATTGCCTGGACGGCTCCGACGAGACACACTGCCCCGAGCCCTCCTGCGGCCCCTCCAGCTTCCACTGCAACAGCTCCTCCTGCATCCCGAAGCTGTGGGCCTGCGACGGCGACACCGACTGCGATGACGGCTCAGACGAGTGGCCGCAGAGCTGCGGGGGCCGCAACACGTCCGCCCGGCACTGGCAGCACCCGTGCACGGCCCTCCAGTTCCACTGCCGCAGCGGGGAGTGCATCCACTTCAGCTGGCGCTGCGACGGCAGCGCGGACTGCAAGGACAAGTCTGACGAGGAGAGCTGCGGTGAGGCCGCGGGGGCTGCCCCTGCCTGCCCCTGCTCCGGGTGTGCGGCTGGTGGTGCCTTTCGGTGGTTAAACGATTTCAAGTCACTTGCGCATATAGTTCATCTCCTCTTTGAGAGGGGAGGAAGCCACAGCTCCTGAACTGTTTTAGTTCACAAAGAGTCCTGGGCTCCAGGCCCAGCTGGTGACGTGGAGCTGTGTGACCCTTGGCCAAGGACTCAACCTGGCCATTCTGCGGTGTCCTCCCTTGCAGAGCGGGGCAACAGCGCTGGCCTTCACAGGCCGCGGTTGGGGTTCGTTGCCACCTCATAGAACTTTCTGCTGTCTGTGCTGCCCAGTGAAGTAGCCACTGGCCAGGGCAGAGAGTGCCACCGAAGAACAGGCTTTATTTCATTTGATTATTGTTTTCATCGGTGTTTTCTTTTCCAAAATTTCATATTATTATTTCATTTTAATTCATCGAAAGTTAAATGGCGGCCGTGGGCGGTGGCTCCCTTGGTGGAGGAGACAGTGCAGATGGAGGCTCTGGCCCTGCCTGTGTCCTGCTCCTGGGCCCACAGCCTGTACCCGACGTTAGTTAGTTAGTACAGAGTCATTGTGAATCCAGAAGGTATCTTCTATTTGTAAAGACCGTATTTATTTATTTTTGGAGAGAGGGGAAGGGAGGGGGAAAAAGAGAGGGAGAGAAACATCAGTGTGTGGTTGCCTCCTATGTGGCCCCCACTGAGGACCTGGCCTGCAACCCAGGCACATGCCCTGACTGGGAATGAAACCAGCAACCCTCTGGTTTGCAGCCCACGCTCAATCCACTGAGCGATGCCAGCCAGGGCCGAATTTTTAAGTTATATACATTTTTATTGTGAATTAGAGCTCACAGGAAGGTGCGTAAAACATCAACACACAGCTTAATGGCTGAGCGTAAAGCAAACCCTGTGTGAGGAGAAGTTCTGGACCACGGGCGGCAGTGTCCCGTCCCGGTCGCCAAGCGCATCCTGAGCTTTCACTGTAACGTCTCATCACACTCCTCGTGTTCGTGGTCTGCTCGGCGGCACTGATCTGAGTCGTCACGGTTCATTAGGCCTACCTCTGTCCGACTGGGACCACGTCATTGCTTTTTTTGCCGAGAAGGGCTCCTTGGGTCTGTAGTTGCTGAACAAATTTTGCAATCGAAAAATGCATAGGAGGCAAAGCTGGGGAGAAGTCCGGGAAACACTGTGATAGTGGTGGGGGCATACTTGGATTCAGGGTGCTTTCCTCCCCTTTCCAATTTTCCAAACTTTGCTTTGTTACTTTAGTAATAATATTCCATGATTCTTCTCCATTAAAGAAGAAAGTACTTACTGACATAAAAGAAAGAAAATCTAAAAACGAGACTGGCTACATTTGAGAGTACCAAGACAGAGAGACATACCTGGGGAGTTTTCCCCATGGTGGGGGGGGGGCCACCTCTTTCCTCTTTTTCCTCTGCAAAGAAGCAGATAAAATGGATGATCCACTGTCTCCTGCTGGCGTGAGAGGCTGGTGTGTTTTTTCACATCTAAGCCTCATTCACCTACGTGCTGTCCCCGAGGCCCACATCTGTTAAGGTGTTGGAAGATCGTTCCTTCAGAGGTGAGGGTTCTTTTGTCTTCGCCTCTCCTGAGACAGAACAACACGTGCTGTTTCTCCCAGCAGTGGCCACCTGCCGGTCTGACCAGTTCCAGTGCTCGGACGGGACCTGCATCCACGGCAGCCAGCAGTGTGACAGGGAGTATGACTGCAAGGACAGGAGTGACGAGCTGGGCTGCATCAACGGTGAGCTCCAGGCCCGGAGAGCCCTCGGCTGCCGGGAGGGGACAGGGGTGCAAGCAGGGTGGATCCCAGACAAGGGCAGATGGGCCCGGGTCAGCCTCATGCCAGCTGTGTGTTCTTGGGTAAGTTACTTGACCCCTCTGATCTGGAAAAAAAAATGTGTCTAATGAAAACACCTACCTAAGGACTCCAAGATTTCATGAGGTAGAAGTGTGCAAAGCCCATATCTTTGAGCGCAGAGTTACATGCACAGTACAATTCCCTGTAAAAGATGTTCCTGAATTTAGGACACAGCAGTTCCACTCCTGGATGACCCAGGAGAAACTCACACCCAGGCGCTAGGAGCCAGACTCCGGGACATACGGCAACACCGTGCTAACAGCAAACCACTGGGGGCAGCCCAGGTGTTCATCCAACAGACGATTAATTTTAAATGTTTTTATGTGGTAAAACACACATGACATAAGCATAATGCTTTTTAAAGTTTTATTAAGATATTTAGAGATTGAAACAATTTAGTGAACAAAAAGTTAAATTCTGGTAATGCACTATCTTCTTTTTAATTGTGGTAAAATACATACGACATAAAATTTACCATCTTAACCATTTTTAAAAAGATTTTATTTGTTTATCTTTAGAGAGAGGGGAAGAGAGAGAGAAAGAGGGATGATGTATGAGAAAAACATCATCAGGTTGCCTCTCACACGCCCCCTACTGGGGACCTGGCCTGCAACCCAGGCATGTGCCCTGACTGGGAATCAAACCAGCGACCCTTTGGTTTGCAGACCAGCACTCAATCCACTGAGCCACAACAGCCAGGGCTTAGCCATTTTTAAGTATGTAGTTCATTGATATACTGCACAGCAACGTGAAGTGGCGTTCAGCACATTCACAGTGCTGTGCCGCCACCTCCAGCTCGTCTCCAGAACCTTGTTAACTTCCCAAACCGAAACTCTGCCCCTGCCTAGCACGAAGTGTCCCTCCCCAAGTCCCTGACACCCACCCCTGTGCATTTAACTCCTCCGGACTATACGTAAGATCATACAGTATTTGCCCTTGTGGCTGGCTTCTTGATGCCCTCCAGATTCATCCACGTGGTAGCAGGTGTCAGAATTTCCCTCCTTCCTAAGGCTGAGTGATGTTCCACTGTGTGGATGAGCCGCACTGTGTTTATCCACGTGTCAGCTGACGGACACTTGGGTGGCTTCCATCCCTGGCTGCTGTGAATAGTGGAGCTAGGAACCCGGCTGTGTGAAAATAGCGCAGAAGTGGTGACGCGGTCGCACAGCGGGATAGAGAGCGAGGCCGCAGGCCTCAGCAAGACCCATAACTTCAGGACTGAGAGCAAGAAACAAGTTGCTGGAGATTAATGAGTACATTTACTTTCCAAGACTAGAAAGCAAGCAAAATTCAGTAATATATTATTCCTTCATACATGTTTGATTGAACTATTAATGAAAAAAATACGGGAAAGGTAAACCCAAAGTTCAGCATCAGCCTCTGGGGGCGCAGCTGAGAGCTGCGCATGGGCAGACGGAGGAGGGCTTTGGGGTATTCTAGGTCTCGGGTCTGCACACCTTCACCATAAAAGGCAGAGAGTAAATATTTTTGGCTTCAGGGGCCGTAGTCTCTGCTGCGTCTACCCACCTCTGCTAGTGTTTGTCTACTCACCTTTGCTAGTGTTTGGAGAAAATAGCCACAGACAGTATGTAAATGAATGGGCTGGACTGTAGGCCAATGAAAGTTTTAATATTTAAATATTTGCATGTTTAACTAAGCAGGCAGTGGGTGGGTTTGGTGGCGGTCCATAGTTTTCCCGCTGCTGCTCTTGGTCACGTTTTAGTTCTTAAACTGGGTTCACAAGTGTTCAATAGTTATCATGTTTTATTGGTGACTACGAGATTATATAATCTTGTGTAAATTATTATAGTATTAAAAAGCACCAAACAGGATCCCTCCGCTCAGAGGACCCTGACCCTCTTCTTTGGCTCTCGTAGTGACTGTGTGCGAGGGCCCCGACAAGTTCAAGTGCCACAGTGGCGAGTGCATCTCCCTGGACAAAGTGTGCAACTCCGTCCGGGACTGCCAGGACTGGTCCGATGAGCCCCTCAAGGAGTGTGGTGAGCCCGGGGGTGCGGGCAGCTCTTGGAGCTCGCAGGAGCTAGAAATGGGCCCCGGACATGGGCGCTGTGGGGGTGCATGGCTCCGGCCCACCCATTGCTCCCAAGGGCTCTGGCTCTGGGGTGAGACAGACGTGGCGGTCTTAGGGATGAGAGGCTCTGCTTCCAAATCTGTTTTTGCATCTGTAGGAAGGGACTGTGGCTGCTGGGGAGTGACAGAGGCGATGATTGCAGAGCTCTGGCAATGCTCTGTGACTTGTGGCTGTGTGAACACCTGGGCTTTCCTGGGCCACATGCCCAGGCAGCCTTGGTCTCCATGGCAGCCTTGCAGCGGGAAAGCAGCCACGTGAATGCCGTGCGCACGCACGAGTGGTGCCGCTGCGCTCCAAGAGCACTCCGTTACAAACACTGAAGTTTGAACTGTATAGGATTTGTATGTGGTGTGAAATAGATTTCTTTTGATCCTTATTTGTATTTTTAACTATTTAAAATTAAAAACCATTCTTAGAGGACTTCCGGCCAAGATGGAGGCGTAGGTGGAAACATTGTGCCTCCTCGCACAACCAAGTTTAAAGACAACAAAGTTTTAGTAACAAAAACACAGCCAAAACAAAGAAAATTGAACTGTACGGAAGTCCGACTACAACGAACTGTTCATCCAGACCGGTAAGAGGGGCGGAGTCAATGGCAGAGTGGGGTCGGGCAGGAAAGATCAGCCAGACAGACCCAGGAGCTCAGGAGCCCAGAAGCGAAAGCGGTGGTTGGCGGATCCCAGGTGTGGGGTGGCAACGGGTGGACCCAGTAAGGGCGCAAGGCGGCTGGCTGACCGCAGTCACACATTCACGCACAGATAAACCAAGCCAAGGGGCAAGCAGTGAGACAGACTGCTCAGGCCAGGGCTCCAGCGACGGGAATTGGAGCCTGAAAGCACCAATTTGAAAGACTTTCGGGGTCAAGATGCCGGGAGAAGCTCCCAGGCTCACAGAGAGTTCATTAGAGAGACCCACAGGGTCCTGGAGGGTGTACAAGCCCACACACCTGGGAACCAGCACGAGAAGGGCCCGATTTACTTGTGGGAAGCTGCAGAGGGGACAGAAATCTGAGAGAGAGCGGAACAAATGCCATTGCCCCTCTATGACCCCTCCCCCACATACAGCATCACAACCCAGCCACCTGAGTGGCCCCGCCCTGGTGAACACCTAAGGCTCCGCCTCTCAAACATAACAGGTGCGAACAGACCAAAACATTATGGCTCAAGAACGGCTCAAAGCCCCAGAGCCAATAAATGTAAGCGACCAAGAGATAGCTAACCCTTCAGATGCACAGTTCAAAACACTGGTGATCAGGATGCTCATAGAACTGGTTGATTTTAGTCACAAATTAGAGGAACAAATGAAGGCTACACTAATTGAAATGAAGGGAAATGCACAGGAAACCAATAGTGATGGAAAGAAAACTGGGACTCCAATCAATGGAGCGGACCAGAAGGAAAAAAAAATGATCAAACAGAAAAGAATGAAGAAACAAGAATTCAGAAAATTGAGGAGAGGCTTAGGAACCTTCAGGACATCTTTAAATGTTCCAACATCTGAATTATAGGGGTACCAGAGGGGGAAGAGGAACAGCCACGAGTGGAGAACTTATTTGAACAAATAATTAAGGAGAACTTCCCCAATCTGGCAAAGGAAATAGACTTCCAGGAAATCCAGGAAGCTCAGAGAGTTCCAAAGAAGTTGCACCCAAGAAGGAACACACCAAGGCACATCATAATTACATTAGCCAAGATGAAAATGAAGGAGAGAATCCTAGAAGCAGCAAGGGATAAGAGGACAATCACCTACAAAGGAGTTCCCATCAGACTGTCAGTGGATTTCTCCAAAGAGACCTTACAGGCAAGAAGGGGCTGGAAAAAAGTATTCCAAGTTATGAAATCCAAAGACCTACATCCAAGATTGCTGTATTCAGCAGAGCTTTCATTTAGAATGGAAGGGCAGGTAAAGTGCTTCTCAGATAAGTTCAAGGAGTTCATCATCACCAAGCCCTTATTATATGAAATGTTAAAGGAACTTACCTAAGAAAAAGAAGATAAAAAAGGTGAACAGTGAAAAGACAGAAAACTCACAGTTATTAACAACCACACCTAAAACAAAAGCAAACTAAGAGGACAGCTAGATCAGGAGTGAACCATAGAAATGGAGATCATATGGAGGGTTAGCAACAGGGAAGTGGGAGGAGGAGAAGGGGGGTGAAGGTACAGAGAATAAGCAGCATAGACGGTGGGTAGAAAATAGATAGGGGGAGGGTAAGAATAGTATGGGAAATATAGAATCTAAAGAGCTTGTGACACGTGGTCACAAACTAAAGGGGGGGAATGGTGGGGGAGGGGTGTGCAGGGTAGAGGGGAATGAAGAGGGGGGAAATGGGACAACTGTAATGGCATAGTCAATAAAATATATTTTAAAAAAACAAAAAATGCCCTGGCTGGTGTAGCTCAGTGGATTGAGCACGGGCCTTCAAACCAAACAACCGCAGTTGGATTCCCAGTCAGGGCACATGCCTGGGTTGCAGGCCAGTTCCCAGCAGGGGATGCACGAGAGGCAACCACACATTGGTGTTTCTCTCCCTCTCTCCTTCCCCTCCCCTCTAAAGATAAATAAATGAAATCTATTAAAAATAATAAAAAAATAAAAACCATTCTTAGCTGTTTGGCTGTTTAAGGACAGGCAATAGGCTGGCTCTGGTCTGCGCTTGGCGTAGAGAGCTAGAGCATGGATTCTGGAACCAGATGCCCTGGATTCAAGTGCAGCGGTGTGATTCTGGGCAGATCATTTACCTTGGCCATCCCACAGTTTCCCCAGCTGCCTTTAGGGCTTTTGGGAGGATTAAATGCGTTAATATGTGTGGGTAACTGTGATATATAGTTTTCAGTCTATATATATATATATATATATTAAGATTTTATTTTTTATTTTTAGAGAGGAAGGGAAGGGGAGGAGAGAAATATCAATGTATGGTTACCTCTCACATGTCCCCTGCCAGGAACTGACCTGCAACCCAGGCATGTGCCCTGACTGGGAATCGAACCATAGTTGTTTGGCTCGCAGGCCCGCGCTCAATCCACTGAACTACACCAGCCAGGGCCTATATATATATATAATTTTTAAAAGGATTTTATTTATTTTTTGGAGAGAGGAAAAGGGAGGGAGAAACAGAGGGAGGGAAACATTGGTCGGTTTCCTTCTGCCTACCCCCAACCGGGGACCTGCCCTGCAACCCAGGCATGTGCCCTGACTGGGAATCAAACTGGCAGCCCCTCAGTGTGCAGGCTGGTGCTCAACCCACTGAGCCACACTAGCCAAGGCCAGTTGTTTTAATTTAAAAATATTTTAAATTGTGGTTGAGGAAAATAAGATTTATCATCTTAAACATTTAAAAATGTACAGTTCAGTAATCTTTTTTAAAAAAAAGATTTTGTATATTTTTAGAGAGAGGAGAGGGAGGGAGAAAGAGAGGGAGAGAAGCATGGATGTGTGAGAGAAACGTCAGTTGTCTCTCACATCCCCTCACTGGGGACCTGGCCTGCAATCCAGGCATGTGCCCCGACTGGGAATTGAACGGGCAACCCCCTGGTTCACAGGCCTGCGCTCAGTCCACTGAGCCACAACCAGCCACAGCTGCAGTCCAGTAATCTTAAGTAGTCACATTGTTGTGCTGCCATCGCCACCTGTTCCCATTAAACACTAATTCCCCTGTCCCCAACTCCTGGCAGCCACCCTTCTACTCTTTGTCCCTATGAATCTCACTTCTGTAGGGACCTCACGGAGGTGGGACCATCAGGCAGTGTTTGCCCTTGGGCCTCTGGCCTGTGTCACTCAGCATAACATCTAGGTTCATCTACAGCACATGACAAGTCCTCCCAGGGGTCACAGCGCTTCATAGGCTTCCATTCATTGTGGGGATTGTGATAAAGGTAGCGAAATAGAGATGGTGGCTGGGAAGGGGTGACTGGAGGCCTGAGCATGACCGGCCTGTGTCCCCACCGGCCCAGGGACCAACGAGTGCCTGGACAACAATGGTGGCTGCTCACACGTCTGCCGCGACCTCAAGATTGGCTACGAGTGCTTGTGTCCGAAGGGCTTCCGGCTGGCAGACCAGCTAAGATGTGAAGGTGAGTCCTGAGAAGGGCGGGCTCCGGGCCTCCTCAGCCCTGCCCTCTGACAAGGCGGCTGAACCCTCTGCGGCCCGGTTTCCCCGTCTGCTGCACGGGCCGTCCCCGCCACGGGCTGCAGGAGGACCTAGCCAGATGCCACAGGCACAGGGTGTCCAGTGCAGGCTTGGCCCACAAGGAGCACTTGGTTCTTGACCTTTGGGATTAGTAATTAAAAAAGAAATCTCAGCTGCCATGACTTTGTCCTGTTGGCCTTACCCCAGGGGTGAGCAGTGAGGTCGGGGCTATGGTTGGAGAGGAATCCTCGCTGTTTCCCCAACTTCACATGTGAACCTCGTAGTCACTGGGATGCCAGCCCAAGGTCTTCCCCACAGGAGCTGGCCGCCCCCGTTTGCCGTCGTGAGGCACAGCTTTGGGTGGAGCCTGTCAGTCCCACCTGTGGGGAAGATGCGCCAAACCCCTTTCTCTGTCATGACTCTTAGATATCGACGAGTGTCAGGACCCCGACGCCTGCAGCCAGCTCTGCGTGAACCTCGAGGGCAGCTACAAGTGCGAGTGTGAGGAGGGCTTCCAGCTGGACCCCCTCTCCAAGTCCTGCAAGGCTGCCGGTGAGTGCGCGGAGGCGGCGCGAAGGGACTGGCCCGGCTGCTCCGAAAGCAACCCAGTGGGGAATTTCATCATCTGAACTTTGCAGAATAAAATGACTCGGGGACAGTGCTCCCGAGACCTGTGGCAGGTAAAGGAGCCATGGCAGGAATAGAGGCTGCTAGAAGGCTGCCCTCACGTGCCCGGCTTCCCAGCTGACATAGGTGAACCCCATGGGGGATGGTTTGCAGCCCGCAGGCCCTGCCAGGGACTCCAGGGAGCATGAGGTGGAAACCATGGCCCCAAACAGCTCGCACCTCCTCCAGCTCCTATTGGCTAAAGGGACTTGCACACACCCCCGCCACAAAGCAAATGCATTTCGAAAAGAACAAAACATAATGGCTCATAGTGAAACAAAGCAGTTGAGGTTTTCTCTCTTCTGGGGTTTAGGTTAGGCCTACAGACGTGCACTCGCTCTTCGCATCACCTAAATCAAGGGATCCCGTGTGTTCACAGGCGTCCTTGTCCTGCGGCTCTGCCACCTGGCCCAGGCGGTCCGGTTTCGCCTCACGTTCTGCTCTGGCAGTGGGAATCCAGTGAGGGTCGATTTCGTAGAAATAGTTTAGCGCTTCTGCTGTTTCTCCAAGAGTCTCTTCGGCTTGAATTCCGTCTCCCCTGCTGTCACCCCTTTAGATGTCCTCCCTCCCATCCTCCCCTGATACACCCACCCCCGTACGCGTCCTGGTTCTGGAGCAAACTGGGGGCTGAATTCCTGAAACCCTCCAGGGTTTCAGATTACACTTTCTTTCCAACCTGTAGGGGTCAGTGTCTGCACGTCTGCCACCCCGCTGCCTCTGGGAGGGACATCCCGAGTGAGGCCAGTTGTAGACGTGGTCAGTTTGCACCCGTCGGTGTCATGGTTACAGCTCAGCCTTCAGAGTCGGAGAGACCCAGGTTCAAATCCCGGGTCTGTCACTCGCCAGCTGTGCGACCTCGGGCATGTCACTTTCCCTCTCTGAGCTGCAGTCCCTTTATCTGTAAGAAGGGTTGACCACAGCACCTGCCTTATAGGAGTGTGAGGATCAGTGAGGGAAAACTCAGCAGGAAAAGCACTAAAAAGACTTCCTGCTGCAAGGAACCGCTCTGTACACATTAACCGTTACCACTTCTTCATCCTTCTGTTCTCAAATGTAAAGTGCTGGGCCCCAGCTGTTTGAAACTGCACCTGTGCACCTGTGCGGAGGCCGGCAGACCAGGAGGAGGCTGCCACTGAAAGCGGCCTGGTCCTCTCAGATCCTGAGAGGAGGGCGCGCCCAGCACGCAGGGCTCGACGGGGAAGCACCGAGATGGGCCGGGGAGCCCGGGGGAGTGCGGGGGACTGTGGGCGAGGGACTCCGTCGTGGTTTTCTTGGGCAGTGACAGGTGAGGCAGGGTAGACAGGCTCAGGATTCGCTAGTTTGCATAATTTCAGTGGGCTCTGGTGTGCAGGGACTGTCCCTGGCTGTCCGGTTCCTGACTGCAGGTGACCAGGGCAAGGCTGGAGTGGCCTGGAGTGTGAGGAGGTGTGGGAGGTGGTGGATGTGGCTGCTTAGTTTGCACTTGAGGTGAGCAGGTGCCTGGAGACGGGCCAGGCTGGAGCGGCCGACCCTCCGAGATCTGCGAGGCCCCGGAGTCGGAGCATCAGAACCACGTGGTTAACACACAGGGAGGCCCTTTCCGGCCGCATCCCGGGCGTCCGCTCCAGTTCAGCCAGACCCCGCGGGGCAGCAGACGTGTCAGGGGTCCCTTCGGCCCCCTGAGTGCCCCGAGTGGCTCCACAGGCAGCGTGGCCTACCTCTTTTTCACCAACCGTCACGAGGTGAGGAAGATGACGCTGGACCGCAGCGAGTACACCAGCCTCATCCCGAACCTGAAGAACGTGGTGGCCCTGGACATGGAAGTGGCCAGCAACAGAGTCTACTGGTCCGACTTGTCCCTAAGGAAGATCTTCAGGTGAGCCTCCGCCGAGCCCAGCCCAGCCCCGCGTGAAATAACCGCCCCTGGCAGCGACTCCCTCCTCCCCGCTCTGCCCTCAGCACGCGGATTGACAGAGCGCCCACGCCCTCCTACAACACGGTCATCGGCGAGGACCTCCAGGCCCCCGACGGGCTGGCGGTGGACTGGATCCACGGCAACATATACTGGACCGACTCCGCGCTGGGCACTGTCTCGGTGGCCGACACCGAGGGAGTGAAGAGAAAGACCCTCTTCAAGGAGGAAGGCTCCAAGCCCAGGGCCATTGTGGTGGATCCTGTGCACGGGTGGGTATCCCCCCAGCTGAGGGGCACGGAGAAAATGAAGAACCATTGAGGACTCGTGGCGGGGAGGGGCAAGACTGGTGTCCAAAGTAGGTGAGGCCGGCAGGGGGGTCTTTCCCCACATGGCCTGTGGGGCCATAGGGTCCGTCCCTCTGATGTCTGCTGTGTCCCCTGGGACAGCGCAGACCCTGGAAACTCCTGCCCTGTAGAATAGAGTCCAAAACCAGAAGTCAAAACACTGATTTACACTGGTATTAGAAATTAGAAAATAAAATTCAGATTTAGTCTTTCGTGCCAGGACAGGATTGGAGAAAAGTAAAAATGCACGTGTCCCAAGTTAACCAATGGACAGGCTCCTGGGGGTGAAGGTCCCGGCCACCGTGGGCCGGCCCAGGCAGGTGTCTGTGGGAGCCCGTGGCTGACTCAGCAACTCCGGGCCCGCAGGGACAGGCCCCGGAGGAAATCGTGGCCCCGTGCGTACCTGTCACACCACATCTGCCACCATGGCATGTCACGTGCAGAATTTCACAGTTCCGGAGGGGCGGTGCCATCCCCAGGGGAGTGGGCAGCCGTGACCAGAGGAAAAGGGGGCACGTGGCTGTGGGCGCGACTCAGGGCAGCCCCTGTGGCGGGGGCAGGGCGGGCCAGCCCGCGCCCCCAGCTGGGTCTCGACTTCTTTAATCACTCTTCAGCACGTGAAAATGTAGTTTCACCCCCCTTTTGGTTCTACCGCTTACAAAGTGGCCCTGCTTCATTGCGGTTGGTCATCTGGAACCAGGCCTTCACTATCTCTGAGGTATGCCTATATACAAATACATATATTTGAAAAGCAAAAAAATAAAATTTAAAATTTAAAAAAATTATTTATTTGTTTTTAGAGACAGGGGACGGGAAGAAGGAAGAGTGGGAGAGGAACATCCATGTGTGGTTGACTCTCACATGTCCCCTATTGGGGATCTGGCCTGCAACCCAGGCACGTGCCCTGACCGGGAACACCAGCCAGGGCTCCCTCTGTTCTCAAAGGTTCTAAAATCCTGCCAGGTCTCATGAGGTCGGGGAGCAGAGGAACTGACGTGGGGTCTCCGGGGCCTGGTTCTGCTCTCCAGCATTGGCAGGAGACCGCCCCGCTGACGCCCGCACGTCTGTCCTCACCACTTTCTCTCCAGCTTCATGTACTGGACGGACTGGGGGACTCCTGCCAAGATCAAGAAGGGGGGCCTGAATGGCGTGGACATTCACTCGCTGGTAACAGAGAACATCCAGTGGCCCAATGGCATCGCCCTCGGTATGTTCGAGGCACTATGGTCCCTAGGGGTCAAGCAGAGCCTAGAGGAGAGAGAGAGCGGCCAGGCCACCCCTAAACACAACCATGCAGCTCCCGAGGTTTTTACAGCCTGCAGCTCAGCCCAGCACCCAGTCCCACGCCCCCCCCCCGCCCCCCAGGATTCCGTTCAGGCGCACACATGGGGATGTGGCCAGAGCTGCTTTTCTGGGCGCATCTCTGCTGGGTCCTTTGGGGGCTCCTTTCTGCAGCGGAGCGCCCATGCCCAGGACCAGCATCCGCATGTGGCCTCTCCTTGTCCACCTGTGGTTCTAGATCTTTCCAGTGGCCGCCTCTACTGGGTCGACTCCAAGCTCCACTCCATCTCCAGCATCGATGTCAATGGGGGAAACCGGAAAACCATTTTGGAGGACAAGAGGAAGCTGGCACACCCCTTCTCCTTGGCCATCTTTGAGGTGAGGGCTGGGAGCACAGAGCAGCCGCTGTGGGGCCTGCGGGAATTCGAGGCCGAGGGCCGCTGACTGCGCACCACCCCTAGACGAGGCAGGAGCGTGCACAGGCCACACGCTCCACCTGGTTCCTTCAAGCCAAGACGCAGAGAATTGCCTGTGACTGAAGAAGTCTCAGACCTGCAGTTATCTCTGTTTCATTCTCGCCAAAACAGTCTTAAAGGTCTAAAGCAGCAGTTCTCAAGTAGAGGCCATCTTGCCATCCAGGGGACATCTGGAAATGCCTGGAGACTTTCACTGTCCGCCTTGTGTGTGTGGTGGGGTTACCAGCTGCATCTACAGGGTGAAGGTCAGGGCCGCCGCTGAACAGCATACGCATGGGGGCTCCCACTGAGGGTCATCTGGCACCAAATAGCACCCCGGTGGGGGAATTCTGCTCTAAAGAAATGTTGTTTTATATTGGTTCACCCACGTTCCAGCAGCCTAACTCACAAGGACCTAGAGGTGAAAGAAACTGTGGTGTCTGTGAAGGACGAACGGATGAACCAAACGTGCCATATCCATGCAGTGGGGTGCTTTTACAAGGAAGGACACTGACTCCTGCTGCATGAGTGAAGCTGAGGACATTACGCTGAGTGAAATAAGCCAGGCGCAAAAGGACAGACACTGTGATTCTACTTACATGAGGTCCCTAGAGGAGTGAAATCCACAGAGGCGGGAAGATGGGTGGGAGCGGGGGCTAGGGGAGGGGCCTGGGGAGTGAGTGTCGGTGGGGAAGGTGAGAAGATTCTGGGGGCGGATGGTGGCCGTGGCTGCGCAGCAGTGTGAGTGGACTTAATGCCATGGAACTGGACACAGATTATTGAGATGTTGCATTTTTAAGTATCTTACCACGACTAAAAAGTTTTGAAGAAACAAGAAATGATGCTACGACCTACAACGGCTTCTTTCCCGAGAACCGCAGTGATTCAGGGGTTGCGAAGACCAGTGGTTAATGGGCTCTGTCGTCTTCCTCAATGCCCATGTAGGATAAAGTCTTTTGGACAGACGTCATCAACGAAGCTATTTTCAGTGCCAACCGCCTCACGGGGTCTGACATCAATCTGATGGCAGGAAACCTGTTGTCCCCAGAAGACATCGTGCTTTTCCACAACCTCACACAGCCTAGAGGTAAAGGTGGGGTGGTCGCCCTCCCTCAGTTCCCTGATGGAGCGCTGGAATTTTCTAGAACTTTCTGACCTCGTTCTTACCCTGACTCCCCACCTTTTCCTCTTCAGGGGTGAACTGGTGTGAGAAGACCACCCTCCCCAACGGTGGCTGCCAGTTCCTGTGTCTCCCAGCCCCCCAGATCAACCTCCACTCACCCAGGTTCACCTGCGCCTGCCCGGACGGCACGCTGCTGGCCAAGGACGGGAGGAGCTGCCTCACAGGTGGGGGTGCCGGCCTGCCGCACACGTGTCCCGCTTCCCCGCAGAGGGTCAGTCCCGCAGGCCTTCTTGCGCCTCCCTCTGCCCGTCTGTCCAATGGGAGAGCGAGGCCCCAGGAGACGGCTGCAGGGACTCCTCGCCGGGACAACCATGGCCTGCCTTTCTGGAAGGCTGGGCGTATCACCACTGTGCTGGGCAGGTAGATAGACTCAGTTTACCGGCGATGTCTGCGCCACTCTGTCCCAGCTCCCTGGGGAGGTGACTGGTTTTAGACACAGATGTCACGTGAGGAATGGCCCTTTTCTATTCTTTTTTAAAGTGGCTAAAATAATTGATTTTATTTCAAATATTAATATTTTTCTTATGACGTTTGGTATGTCCATTCTTGCATCTTTTAAGAGTCCGAGTTAATGAGGAAGTTTACCCATCAGCTTAATATACCTTAGTTTTCCCCAACGATCAGAGGTTGGGTTATTTTGAGGAAGGGAGAAGTTTCTGTCTTAAATTTAATTTTTTATTTTTAGAGAGAGGGGAAGCAAGGGTGAGAGGGAGAGAGACACTGATCAGTTACCTCTCACTCGCCTCCAACCAGGACTGGCCTTCAACCCAGTAATGTGCCCTGACTGGGAATTGAACCAGTGACCTTTAGGTTTGCGGGACACCACCCAACTCACTGAGCCACAACTTGCAGGGTGGGAAATCTCTTATATTTAGAAATTTGTGAAAACACTGTGGACTTTAATATGTGATTCTGAGCCTTCATTTGAAAAAATGTTTCTTTTTGCTACAGCCATAAATATTTTTGTACCTTGGTTTCAGTTTGAAACCTTGTTTCTTGCTACTTTCTCTTTTTAAGATTTTGTTTATTTATCTTCAGAGAGGAGAAGGGAAGGAGAAAGAGAGGGAGAGAAACAGCAATGTGTGGTGGTTGCCTCTCCCACGCCCCCTGCTGGGGACCTGACCCATAACCCAGGCAAGTGCTCTGACTGGGAATCAAACCGGTGACCCTTTAGTTTGCAGGCTGGCGCTCAATCCACTGAGCCACACAAGCCAGGGCTGTTTCTTACTACTTTTAATCTTATCCTTTCAACTCCTATGAAAGTATTTTGTTATTGTGTGATTGGTTGTTTCATTTTATTTCTCTTTTTCTGCATATCTTGATTATTTTTTTATTACCTTACATTCAATTTATTTTAAAATTATAAAACTTTCACAGAAAAATTGGGGTACATTTTGCTCAAAGTTGTTTTTCCAGTCCTGGACCAGACCTGCCAGTCACCTCTGTGGAGGAAGAAGGTGTCAAGTGCCTCCCTCAGGTGAAAGCTTGCGCCCCTGAGAACGACAGACAGCGCCCTGTTCTTAAGAAACTTCTTGCTTGAAACCGATGATCTTTCCCTAGATCCTTAGATTCCCCAAAGAGTAAAATTTCATTGAAAGAGAGAGGAAGGGGATGGGGAGAGAGACATCGATTTGTTGTTACAATTATTTATGCATGCATTGGTTGATTCTTGAATGGGGATTGAACCAGCAACCCCGGCATAGTAGCACAATACTCCAACCGACTGCGCTACCTGGCCCCGGGCACGCGTGCTCTTTCAGCACTTATCAGTCCGGTGTTAGTGCTAACAGTTGCTCCTTCTCGTCCTTAACAGGCAGTGTGGAAGAGTCTGCCACCTTCCTTTCTGTCTCCTTTTTTTCTTCTTTCTGCACAGGTGGGGTCATTCATCTCATTTTCATGGTATTGTTCTTCTTCATTATATTCACTGTTTTGCCCTTACACCCAGAAACTTTCTTTTTTTTTCTAATTTATTTTTTATTGATTATGCTGTTACAGTTGTTCTATTCCCCCCCTTCATTCTCCTCCACCCTACCTCCCTGTCCCCACCATTACCCCCCCTTTAGTTTACGACCATGTGTCTCAAGTTCTTTAGATTCTATATTTCCCATACTATTCTTGCCCCCCCATCTATTTTCTATCTACTGTCTATGCTACTTATTTTCTGTACTTTCTCCCCCCTTCTCCTCCTCCCACTCCCCTGTTGCTAACCCTCCTTGAGATCTTCATTTCTGTTTCCACTCCTGATCTAGCTGTCCTTTTAGTTTGCTTTTGTTTTAGGTGTGGTTGTTAATAACTGTGAGTTTGCTCTCCTTTCACTGTTCATATTTTTAAACTTCTTTTTCTTAGATAAGTCCTTTTAACATTTCATATAATAAGGGCTTGGTGATGATGAACTGCTTGAATTTGATCCTATCTGAGAAGCACTTTATCTGTCCTTCCATTCTAAATGAGATAGAGCAATCTTGGTTGTAGGTCTTTGGATTTCATGACTTGGAATACTTCTTTCCAGCCCCTTCTTGCCTGTAAGGTCTCTTTGGAGAAATCCGCTGACAGTCTGATGGGAACTCCTTTGTAGGTGACTGTCCCCTTATCTCTTGCTGCTTCTAGGATTCTCTCCTTCATTTTAATCTTGGCTAATGTAATGATGATGTGCCTTGGTGTGTTTCTTCTTGGGTCCAACTTCTTTGAGACTCTCTGAGCTTCCTGGATTTCCTGAAAGGCTGTTCCTTTCCCCCTTCTGGTACCCCTATAATTCGGATGTTGGAGCGTTTAAAGATGTCCTGGAGGTTCCTAAGACTCTCCTCATTTTTTTGAATTCTTGCTTCTTCACTCTTTTCTGTTTGGCCATTATTTGCTTTCTTCTGGTCCACTCCATTGATTTGAGTCCCAGTTTCCTTTTCATCATTATTGGTTTCCTGTGCAATTCCATTCATTTCAATTAGTTTCACCTTCATATGTTTGTCTAATTTGTGGCTATAATCAATCAGTTCTGTGAGGATCCTGATCACCAGTGTTTTAAACTATGCGTCTGAGAGTTTTGGTATTTCTTCATCGCTTAGATTTATAGGCTCCGGGGCTTTGAGATCTTCTTGAGCCATTTTTGGTCTGTTCGTGCCCTTTAAGTGTGAGGAGTGGAGCCTTGGACTTCCAGGTCGCTGGGTTGTGACACTGTATGTGGGGGCGTGGTCAGAGCGGGGGAAATGGCGGCCCCCTCTGCTGTTTCTCACAGCTGGGTGAAGAGCAGAGCCTTAGGTGGTTCACCGGGGCAGGGCCACTTAGGTCGCTGGATTATGACGATGCATGTGGAGGCGGGGTTAGAGCAGGGAAATGGCGGCACCCTCCGCTGCTGGGGCTGCTGGCTCTTGTCCAATCGCCCACTCCCTCGCTTGTCTAACCACACACGAATGCGCGACCACAGTCAACCCGCAGCTCTGCTCCCTCGCTGTTTCCCTGTGATTGCTCGCTGAGTTGCCCACCAGGTCCAACCCTGCGCCTGGATTCCGCGCACCTGAGTCCGTCTGACCGAGTTTTCCTGTGCTACTCCGCTCTGCCAGGTGCTGATTTCGCTCCTCTTACCGGTCAGGCTGAAGAATTTGTTGTTATCAGACTTCTGAAAAGTTCAATTTTCTGTGTTCTGGCTGTGTTTTCTGTTGCTATTATTTAGTTGTCTCTAAACTTGGTTGTGTGAGGAAGCACAGCGTCTCCACCTATGCCTCCATCTTGGCAGAAGTCACCAGAAACTTTCAAAAAACAAAACTAAAAAGATCTTCCGGTTAGACTCAAGACTTATTGGCCATGGTTCTATGGGGTACCTCTCCTCACCTGGTGCCAAGCAGCCGACTTAGAACTGGTGCGGATCGAGGGAATCCGACTGTTTAATTCAAACAAAGCATGGAGCAGGCCCACCCACAGGGGTGGGGGCAGTTTATGCAGGGTATTCACCTCGAGGTCTCTCCTAAGGTTGAAGTCAAGCTGTCAGCCAGGGCTGCAGCCATTTGAAGGTTTGACTGGGGCTGGAATATCTGCTTCTAGGATTGCTCACTCACATGGCCGCTGGTAGCAGGGCTCAGCTTCCTGCTGGGTGCTGGCAGGTCTCAGTTTTCCACTGCCTGGGCCTATCCACAGGCTGCTTGAATGGATTCCCAAGGCTACACTCCTAAGGAGTGACTTGGTGTCATGTGCCAGATGCTGTGATTCCCTCTCCCCCAAAGTTGGTATGTTGAAAGTATATTGTTGAAATATAATCTGCCCTTTTCAGTTCTTCTCAACCTCGGAGAAAGTCTCGATTTGGAGCCAGAGTGTTCATAACACTGCAAATCACCCTTTTTGAAAGTAGATATTGGTGGGTTTGTATGTTCACCGCTTTTGTTTTCAGTGACTTGTCGACAGCCGTGGGCACTCACAGCACATGTCGTCGTCAGCAGTGCAGTGCTCTCAGAGTGCTCCACTCTCAGAGTGCTCCTCGGGCCATAGGGCATCGGGAAGTGTTGATTCTTTCAGACACTGACTCTGCGATGACCACCCGAGGACCTGCCATGGCTGGCTCAACTGTGGCCACCCTGGCCCCGGCTCATCCTGATGAGCATCTAGATTGGCTCCTTGGGAGGCCAGAGCATCTAGATGAAGAGCTAGAGTGGAGTTAGTTCTGGCTGACTCTCTCTGACATGGCCGGTGTCTCTCTGAAGCCTGTTTCCCTACCTATAAAACGAGGCTAGTAACAGTGCCCCCCCCCCCCCTCAATAGTGGGCATCGCAAGGGCTAATTCGTTTAAAGAGCCAGAACACATGATGGCTGCTGATCCCAGAGTCTGCCAGGCCCAGGGGCCCAGGAGCGCGAAATGTTACCCAGGCCATTCATTGCCCTGCTTTCAGGGCTGTGTGTTCCCCAGCCGGGCCAGGACTAGGGTGAGGCAGGTAAGGTACTCCGAAGGACAACATCTGAGGGGGCACCAGAAACCCAGGACTCAGGCTTTGGCTGGTGTGGCTCAGTGGATTGAGTGCCGGTCTGCAAACCAGTGGGTTGCCAGTTCAACTCCCAGTAAGGGCACATGCCTGTGAACCGGGTACCCAACAGTGAGCACACAAGAGGCAACCATACTTTCTTTCCCTCCCTTCCTGTCTTTCTAAAAATGAATAAATACAATCTTTAAAAAAAAAGAAAAGAAGCCCAGGACTCAAATAACACTTTAATCTTTTTTAAAATTTCATTAAGATTTTATTTATTTATTTTTAGAGAGGGGAAGGGAGAGGGAAAGAGGAAGAGAAACAATTTTTGAGAGAAATATTGATCATCTGTCTCTCACACATGCCCCAACCAGGGACAGGGTCCACAACCCAAGCGTGTGCCCTGATTGGGAATCGAACCAACAACCCCTTGCTTTTCAGGACGTCGTCACCCAACCGACTGAGACACACCTGTCAGGGCTAATCTGATATTTTTTAAAAATCAAATCGCGCCCTGGCTGGTGTAACTCAGTGGATTGAGCACTGGCCTGTGAAGCAAAGGGTCGCCAGTTCGATTCCGAGTCAGAGCACATGACTGGGTTGCAGGCCAGTTCCCAGCAAGGGACGCGTTGATGTTTCTCTCCCACTCTTTCTCCTTCCCTTCCCCCTCTCTAAAAATAAATAAATCGCCAAACTATAGCCTGTGGGGCCAACCACTTGATCCTGTAAATAAAGTTTGATTGGGACCAGGGTCATAGTAAGGCAGAATCATTCAAACATAGTGTCAGAGCCAGCTAAAAATCTGGGTATTTTTTTATTATAGTATTGGAATTAATTTTGACTTTTACGTATAACATTTTAAAATGGTACTGAATTATTGAGTTTTGGTGGGAGGTACCTTTAAGTTTTGTGCATGAGTCCATTGTCTCATTCTCCTCACCTTAACATGGCCTCAAGGTCATGAACTCCTTGGAGGTGGTCAGACCTGGACTGAGTGAAATTGACCAAAGACCCACCATTCATATTTTTGTCCACCAGAGGGTGCCCAACCTGGTTTTTGAGCAGCTTGGAAATAGATCTCATGGACTTTTCCGGCCAGAAAAAAAAAATGTCACATCAGCACGTTTCAGACATTTTTTTTCCCCTGCAGAGTAGCTGAAGCCTTTGTTCAACCATAAACGAAATTAGAACAGGAACTGCTGTTCTTATGGGACGCCTGGAACCCTCCTCTCTTGGACAGGGGGTAGGGAAGGGCACTGCTCATCAAAACCATTTCACAGACAGGCCCATCCAGGGCCCTGGAATTTGGCAAAGGAGCCCTTTTAAGGGAAAAACTCCTCCAAAATTCTGCTGCTGCCCTAAATCATTGTTGTTACAAGGTTTGTTAAATATGCACAAATGTGATATTGGATATAAACTTTATATATACAAGTGCAACAGCTGGTAGAATTAAAACCTCAGTGAACTGGAATATAATCATGACGGTAATCATGGCTCACGGATGTGGCTTGTTCAGTCCTCCTGGCACATTCGCCTCTTCAGAGACCCTTCCTTGTTCCTCTGCATGGAGCCCTTTTGTGGTCTGGCCCAGGTGCATCTGTGTGATTAGTGGTTGTGTAATGAAATCTTCCCTCACCCCAATATTTTTATTAGCTGGGGACAGTGGACACAGGACTATGGAGTTTGATGCGGTCCTACCTGTGCTCTGGAACTGGCGAACCCCCTGGCTCATTGCCATCCAGTGCCCAGCTGAGCTAAAAAATTTCACCAGCGACCGCTGGAATGTGACTACAGGGTTTCACCTTGGAGACCAGTGGTCCTTCCCCCTGTAGCTCAATGCTGAGCTGACGAACCCTCTTAATACCACACTGCATCCCATAATTCCGACTGCTACCGAATAGGCCCCGTGGCGCAAGCCGGCAGGGCGCCCCTCAGGCTGGGAGATGCTCCAAGTTCCTCTGCACTTTCAAGGGCAATGAGTCATGTCAGGTGTTTTCCTTCGGGTGAGTCATCACACACCTGCTGTGCTCCCGTGGCCCTGACTGCAGATCTGAGCCCCACTTTCTCCCTTCTCCCCTGCAGCCTGGGATGACACTATTCACGAAGGGGACCAGGAGAGGCCCAGGAGCGTGGGTGTGCTGTACATTGTCCTCCCCATCGGTAAGCCCACTGGTCGGCCTCCCTCGGTTCCCTGACCTCCCCGCTTAGCCAGCTTTTCTCCCAGGAATGGGGTGTCCCGACCGTCTGTCCTATTCATCATTACACTCCCCTGTCTAGTTTCATTTATTTAACAAACCTCGTTGAGCGCCAGCTGTGGGCATGCTTCTGGGCATGGAGGACACAGCTGTGAAAGAAATAAACAGTCTGGCCCCTGGGAGCTGACAGTGGACAAAAAGAGACAGCTGATGTGTCAGATGGGGAGGTGGGTCCAGAGTCCCAGGGGCGCGGTGATGGATGCTGTAGGGAAGGCCTCCCTGACACCTGGGGGAGGCGAGGCCAGTGGTTCCCTTGCTGGGGCAAGTGTGGAGAGCTCCTCTTTCCCTTCCTCAGCCTGTCAATCATAGCTTGGTGAGCATCACGCCCATTTTCCCTTTTCTGAGGAAGTAAGTCCTCTTGAAGTGTCCCTTCAACACCCAGCCTGCTCACAGATACCCGTATTTTGGTGCCAACAGTCTCTGACTGTGGGTTGACAGATGTGGCAAGTGGGACCCTCTCCACCCTGGTGGCACCAAGGGTGGCACCTGCCCTTCTTCCCAGCGGAGGCCAAGTCTCTTCACCCTCTGAGCACCGGCCAGACTGTTTTACGCAGCCGGGCTGGGTAAGCCCTTGGCCGTGTCCTGGATTATCTAAAAATGCAGTAGCCCCGCGTGCGGGTAACCCAAGGAGAAGCCCAGGAGGACCCACCGCGGTCGAGCGTTTCTGCGGGGAAGCGGTCACAGTGGTCTTCAAGGGAGAGGCTGGCTGTGCTCCTAATTTTTTTTCTACAAAGAACAAGTATTCCTTTAAATCAAAACAAAACCATTAATGGAATAAAAAGGCTGGAGAGTTTGGGCACCAGGCAGGGCACGGGACAGGGAGTGACACCAGGCTGCCTGTCCCACAGTGCTGCTTGCCCTCCTGTGCTCCGGCACCTTCCTCCTGTGGAAGAACTGGCGACTGAAGAGCATCAACAGCATCAACTTTGACAACCCTGTGTACCAGAAGACCACGGAGGACGAGGTCCGCATCTGCCACAGCCAGGACGGCTACACCTACCCCTCGGTGAGTGCCTCACCCAGCCGGGGGCCACAGCTTCCCTGTGAGGGTGTAAGATCCTCCGAAGCCATCCTCGTGCTTGGGGAGCAGGGAGCATGGGTGAGGAGCGACCATAAGTCATGGCAGGGAACAGAAGAAAGCCACCGGGGGCTGGGAGAGGGGGAGGCAATTTTAGATAAGGTGGGCAGCTTCCCTAAGCAGGATGATGTGGTGTGCAAAGGGCCTGAGGCTGGGCCATGCCTGGTGTGTTTGAGCAGGGTGGCCACACAGTGGCCAGTGTAGCAGGAGCGGGGAGAGGGGGAAAGAGGGAGGAGACAAGGGCAGTGAGTGTGCCTGGCAGATGGAACAGAACTTTGTGGGCCGTGGGGACGACTAGGGCTTTGCTCAGAGTGAGGTGGGAGCCATGAAAGGCTTTGGGAGGAGAAGAGACTTGGCCTGCCTTGTGTTCACACGCTCCCCGTGGTGGCCACTGGGGAAGGACCCACTAGGGAAGGGCGAGGGCAAAAATCTGACTAGGGTGCTCACACACGCCCTCTGGAGGCCGTGGGGGCAACAGACTGGGGCCGAGGTCAGGGGCCAGAAGACCAGGGCGGAAGTGACTCTGCTGGTCCAGGCCGGTGATGAGGAGCAGGTGGCCTCTGGCCATGTTTACTGGATGCTGGACTAATTATTTCCGGTGTTTATCGTTTCATTGACAGAGACAGATGGTCAGGATGGAGGATGACATAGCATGAACTGCTGCCTTGAGTCCTGTCCCTCCCCAGAACCTGCTGCTGGTCAAGGGCAGGAAGAACACTTTCTCCCCAAACCCTTGACCTTCCCAAAACCCTTCTTCAGACCCCGACACCCTCCTGTTCCATTCACAGAAAGAAGTGGCCCAAAAGCACTGCTGGCGGCTGTAGCTCGACACCGGCATCCATGGGCCTGTCTGCCAGAGCTTGTTTTATATATTTATTCATCTGGAAGGCAGGCGGCAGTGCACATGGAATGGGTTTTGAGATTTTTTTTCTTGACCTTCTCTCCTCGACTGTCTCCTCACCTGAGGCACTGGTGGACAGAGGGACACCAAGCTGGAGAAAGCAAGTGGCTTTGAACACCGAAGCGCAGGTGCAGCCCCAGGGTCCCAGGCAGCTGCTGCACCCCTGACCTCAGGAGTAAATGTGTTTACCTCTGCCTTGCAGGCCTCGATGGACACCAGAGTAAGCTTTTGCCCTGCCACTGCAGATCAGGATGAAATCAGTGTTTTCTAATAAGCCAGTAGGTGCCCTCCCCTTAAGCCGGGAAAGGGACTCTGGCATTGGTGTTGACATGGCCAAATCCAGTGCACCAGGGCAGCCCACTGAGCCCTTGCTCATTCACCGAAACCTCAATAGTTATCCAGGGAAAGCCTGAGCCGCCCACTGCCCTTAACATTTATTAAGTGCCTGAGACGTCCAGGTACCTTGTGTGTGAAGTAAGTGGCCTCCAGCCTCTAGCAGCGTCCTTCAGCCCCCGGGGCAGCGTCTGGAGCCCAGCCTCGTGCCCATCGCCGCCTCCTCCAGGTGCCCTTGCACTTTTCCAGTTCAGGCTTGTACATTCTGTAACATCTACATTCCTTGCTATTTTGCACTGTTTCCTGTTCTGGCCGGGGTGGGCTCCTAGGCCAGAGAGGGCCTGGGGATGGGGAGGGGAGGAGGTGCTGTCTCAGGGCCTTTCTCCCAGGCTTCCGAAGCCCAAACTGTGACTATCTGGCTAGTGCTTCCACTTCTAGGCACAAGCCCCTGAGCATTCAATCTCCTCAACAGGTAGCTGTCACGATGGGTGTCTGTCTGACACGTGCATGGTGTTTCTGCCTTAAGACATCCCCTAGGCTCGGTCATTGTATGGGACTTAGGAAACAAGAATGCCTTCTGAAGTTGTCACACGTCGTATTTACAACAGGAGACTGTGGGAGGAGGCTCCCGTGACGCCCGTGCCCCTTGTGCACTACACGCCCACGGAGCCTGTGCCCCGCCATAGGGGGCTGTGGAAGGAGTTCCTCTTTCTGAAGCCTGTAAATAAATCCCTGGATGTATGAGTGGGGCATTTTATGTTTGCACTTTGTATGTTTGCCCAGACATTTATCATTCATCTATATGAAAACCAGATCTATTTATTTTCGCAAACCCTGGGTGCTGCATTTGTGTGGGGGCCCCCGAGGGGGTCTGCACTGGGGGTGACCATCTGAGAGGCCTCGTCTTTCTGGACAGGTGACTTGTGCGGCCTCTTCAAGCGCGCCCTGTCCATGTTGCCTATGTGGGCTGCTTTGGGAAGGTTGGCTGTTGATTTTAAAACACTGTATACAATGTTTTTATAGTCTGAATGTCTTCCTTGCACTGATTAAATTTCTTAAATGAACCATTTGGCTAAACCTGACACACGTTTGTCTTCTGTTCCCTCAGTTCCTCCGTGTGTTAATGCGCTCACCTCAGCGGGAGAAGGGTCTGGAGAGGCCGCTTTTCCCCAGGCTCAGGGCGGGCTGCAGGCGGGGGTGACGCCGTGCTCGGCTGGGGAGCAACTCCGCTGGGTGCTTCCCCGAGCTGGGGTTTTGCTGTATCTCCTGCTGGTCCATTCGATCAGCATTTTGGGGGCACCTATTGTGTGCCAGGCCCTGTTCTAAGCATGCAGGACACTGCAGTGAGTAAAAAACTATACAGCGATTCAGGATATGGGCCCTCAAGGACATGACATTTTAGAAGGGGAAAGAAATAAAATGACTATATTTTATAAAAATGTTAAACAGAACAATGAGAAAAATACCTGGCAGGCAGGGTTCTCTAAGGTGACATTTGAGCTGAGTCCAACAGAGTGAGGACCAGCCGTGTGAGGATCCGTGGGGAGGAGGAGTCCCTGGGGTGGGACATACGTGCAAGGCCCCACAGAACGTGCTGTTTCCGGGGGCCATGTCCCTTCAAAACTGGGTCTAAGAGTGGGTGGTGTGAGGTCCTCTAAAAAGACAAAGGATAAAAATGTGACTCCATTCACCGCTGAGGTATATAAAATCAAGATTTCACAACACAGATCCAAATAATAAGTTTGGCAAATGTGACTAGAGTCCGCATGGCAGTACTGGGTTAGAGCCTGGGATGTCTGGTATGCATGCTATGGTCCGTCTCAGCACTCGACACCCCCACTCTCTTGTGCGCCCCAGCTTTACCTAAGCCAGGGCCTGTGGGCATTTCAGACCCCTGCCCAGGAGCACGGCAGTCAAACCACACATAGTCCTGGTGTATCAACCGGGTACACTCAGCCCACGGCAGGTCTTTGGACAGAAAGAACTTAACCCAGAGACCTGAGCATGAAATGCAAACAGGGCAGACTGTGAGATGTCACCTCACACCCATTAAGATGACTGTTGCAAAAAAAGATAACAAGCATTGGCAAGGCCATGCAGAAACTGGAGCCCCTGTGCACTGTAAGTGGGAATGGAAAATGGTGCAGGCACTGTGGCAAACAGTGTGGTGGTTCCTTGGAAAATTAAAAGTTTACCATGTGATCCAGCGATTCTACTTCTAGGTACATACACCCCAAAAGAATTGAAAGCAGGAACTTACAGAGTCACTTGTACACAGCAACACTACTCACAAAAGCCAAGAGTCAGGAACAGCCTAACTGTCCGTCGATGATGAAGGAAGGAAATGTAGTGTTCGTGCAATGGGATGGTACGCAGCCTTAAAAAGAACATTCAGACAGGTTACAACATGAGCCTTGCTCAGTGACACGTCAGTCACGAAAGAACAAATGCTGTCTGGCTGCAGTTAGTGGAGGTCCCCAGAGTCAGATCTAGAGACAGGAGGTAGATGGTGGCTGCAAGGGGCTGGGGGAGGAGGATGGCAGTTAGCGTTTAATGGGGACCGAGGGTCGGTTTGGGAAGGTGAGAAAGTTCTAGAGATGGATGATGGTGACGGCTGCACAACAATGTAAGTGTAGTTAATGCCCCTGAACTGGACAGTTAAAAATGGTTAAGCCCTGGCTGGTGTGGCTCAGTGGATTAAGCACTGGCTGGTGGACCAAAAGGTCACTGGTTTGGTTCCCCGTCAGGGCACAGGCCTGAGCTGCAGGCCAGGTGCCTGGCTGGGGGTGGTGTGTGGAAGGCAACCAGTCGATCTATCCCTCAGGCATCAGTGTTTTCTCCCTCTCTTTCTCCCTCCCTTCTTGTCTCTAAAATAAATAAACTTTTAAAAAGATGATAAATTTTGTTATGTGTATAGGACCACAATAGTGATAATTATTGTGATAATTAAAATATCGATGATTACTTTTTAAAAAAGACTAAACAGGGGACGAGGCAACCAGAAATAAGCCACAGCAGAGGGAAGGCGTGGCAGGAATGCGCCCCCAGTAGGCGACCTGGAGTGACCTGGCACTGGGGCGGGAAAGCACTTGGGCCGGGCCGGGCCAGGCCGCCCGGGTTGGGATGGGTGACCTTGGGCCCAACACAGCTCATTTCCCCAACTGAAAATGGGGCCAAGGTTAATAATCCCACCTCCCTGCAGACTCTCTGAACTGGGGATGCAGGCCCTGCGGTTGGGGGTGAAGGCCAGGAGCTGCAGGGACTGTTATCATTTCTGTGTCCACAGGGGGGCACTTCCTTCCTTCTGCTTTTAGTCTTGGGAAGATTCCAAAATGCCTCTGGGGTGAAAGCTGAACTGGCCGCACAGGAAGCATCGGGCCTGCACATGGAGGTCGATAATTGCTTGATTGACTGATTCCCTGCTCAGCCGTGTGGCAAACAGGACAAATGAACTTGAATGGCTGGCGTACAGGGAATGGCCAGAGGGGGCTTTGAAGGGGTGGGGACAGGACTGCGTGCATGGGAGAAGTCAGAAGTAATGGAAGTCTCTGGTATCTGGCCTCGGCGGTTTTGTTCAGTCACTGCAATTGTTCATCAGGGGCTTCAGCTGTGGCACAGACTATGACAAAGGCTGGAGTTTGAGCTTTGTGACAAATCAGGATTGACAAGGCTACAGAACTGACTCATCTCCCTGAGATGGCCATATGAGGGGAGTGGCAACTGGCCCCCACTTCACAGAGAGAGGTGGCTCCAGGCCCCTGGGCCCAGACACCCCTTGCTTTTTCTACCACCAGCTGGGAGGGTCACCAGGGGAGTGACCCCTTTCTGGCTGCAGTTCTCTGGGCTCAAAACAGGGTCCCTCAGTGAAAGGCAGGCATGTTACCCAGGTAAGGTTCAGCTCTTGGACGTGTGGCCAGTTCCCTGGTCTGTGGGACTGGCACATACCCCAAGAGCTGGCTCTGGAGGGGCAGAGGCAGCAGCCTGGGGGCTACCACCCTGCCTGACAGGCCAGGGCGGGTGACAGAGGAAGATGTTCTCCCAAGCCTAATGCCCCATCTCCTGTCCTCTGAGGCCGTCCACCCCCAGCTCTGGCATCCAAACCACGGCTGCCTGCGGTGAGTCAGGCTGGGGCCTGGGGGACTGGGCCAGATCCTCTGGAGGGAAGGAGGGCAGGGGGAAGGCTGCCCCCTGCCATACCCTGCCTGGCAGGCCATCCCCCACGGGGAGGTCCAGCACCCCTCCCCCGACTCCCAGGAAGTGAATCCCTGAGATGAAGGAATGAGGCTCAGGGTTGTGTGAGCCGGCACAGGTCATACCACCCACCTAGCCGGGCGGGGAATGGGGCTAGTACAGCCCCCAGGACTCCTGGGTCTGGTCCAGTCTCCCCACCAGGCAGTTCAGCTCAGATTTCAGTGCAGCTTCCTGCCCTCAGTGGAGGGGCTCCCTCCTCCCCAAGCCCCACCCTTTCCAGCCCAGCTGCTCCCACTCATCCTGTCCTCCTCTCCCACACTGCTTGGGATGAAGGAGGGGAGCTGGGGGCTAAGTGAGACCAGGGCCCTGGAATCTGAAGACCCTCCCCAAGTCTCACTGGACTGCAGGCTCAGCGTGATCAAGCCCCATAGTCTCAGGGTTCCCTTCACGCTGGCCTCTCCGTGGCCCCAGAACAGCGTTTGCATCTGCCGTTCCTCAGCCAGGATCACTGTCTCCACACTTTTGTCCCCTGGGTGCTCAGGTCTGGGCTCACAGGACACCTCCTCCTTGGGCCTCCTACAAAGACCCCTCCCCCTCAAATAGCAACAGTGTATCAATAACTGAAATGACCTCATTCATAGGTCAGGGTTAAATTCAAATTGTGGATCTAGTTCAGACCCCAGCTCTGACAACCATTAGCCACAGACACTTACATGAATAGTTTGACTTTTCTATGCCTCAGTTTCCCTACCTGTAAGGGAATACGGAGTCAGGCACACAACACCTGCTCCTCCATAGTTTGCCATGGCCTCCCCTGGAGTGTGGCTTCCTGAGAGGGGGATGGTAGCAGGTAACAGGTACACTGTCCACATCTGAGTCAGTCAGGGAGGCCACTGGGGTCACTGTGAGGGTGGACCAGTGTGGGCCACACACGGAGAGTCCCAGGGAATCCAATCACCATTGTGTTTGATGCTGAGACCAGTCCTCCTGGACTCTCTGCAGCCTCAGCTTACCAAGTTTGTCAGGGGTCACGGGCAGTACACACTCTGCCGCTTGCCCCAGCAACACCACCCATCAGCTGGGTGCATGACTGCATGGCCAGCAATCACCGACACCAAGGACTGCACAAGGTCCTAGAACCTTAGCCTTTTGTCACCCTTTAGGGTTTGACCAAGTGCAGATGTTGGTCCCAGCTCCCTCTTGTCTCTTTCTACCTGTGTGACCTTGGACAAGAGCCAGATGCTTTAGAGGCTACTTGTCACCTGAAAAGTCAAGAGACCCTGGGGCCCCACTGTCCAGTGATTTTGGCAGCCAACTGGTCCCAGCCATGCCCACTTCCCCATCTGTAAAATGGGTTCTCCTTACCGCTTCAGATGGTGCTAGGCTCACACTGTCCTGTTTTTGGAGGTGGGGTCGCAGGATTAAGAACAGGAGTGGTAGGGTGGGGTTGGCCCTCAGTCCTGCAGTCAGGTGACCTGCTTCCTCACTCCCTAGTCCTGGGGACATCAATCTTACTCCTTCCTCTTCAGAGCTGGGCCTAGCAGTCAGCATGCCTCTGGCCAACCTCCAGGATTCAGAAAAGAGCTGATGGCTGCCAATGGAGCGAAGGCTGGAGACTGTGGGCCTGAGTCTATCCCACTGGCTGTCCAGGCATCCAGCCAAAACCAGGCAGTGAGTCAGGGCCCAGGCATGTTAGAGGACCAGGGCCTCTCCAGGCCCCTGTGAGCTCAGGCGCCTCTCTGAACCCACTCACCCACCCACCCACAGGGGCCTGGCCAGGCCATGATTCCCCCACCACTTACTGACTCCTTTGCATCAGTCCCTAAGGGACCTTCTTCCTCTTGGGGAAACTGAGCTCTGGATAGGCCAAGGCCTCCGTGGCTTCCTTCTA